ATATATTTTAATAATATATTGGTTTTGCATATATTTAGTGTGCGGTTTAGACCTAGAAACTACAAACACATGGAAAGCACCAAACCCTAAAATCGTCAGAGCATTTTTTTTAGCAGATGGAGAAGGCTTTCAGTTGGAAGATAGACAACTTTTCCGAAAAGAAAAGTGTGATGAAGTCAGATACTTTCTCAAGCGGCGGCTGCGAATGGTATAAACAAGAGAATAATAATGATCTTTAGATTTCTTATACAAAACGTCTAGATATATGTTTGAGCTGAAAATAAATAAATAAAAGTTTTTTAGGTATCTTTGTGTTCATCCGAAGGGAAAAATTGTGGATGATCACTTGTCTCTCTTCCTAAGCGTTGTGAATCCTGGAAGACTGCTACCTGGATGGAGAAGACGAGCTAGTTTTCGTTTTGTTTTGTTGAATCAATCTGGCAAAGAACTACATAGAACAGTTGGTAAAATAATGATATGATCATATCTTCAGTTTTTTTTATTTCTTGAATTTGAGGACTTACAAGTTAGAGCACCTCTAAAATTCTGTATTTGCCTCAAATATATAGTAAATTGTTTTATTTTAAAGAAAAAATAGCAAAATTTATTGAACATGGTCTTATAAGCAGTGTGATTATACATTATATCTGATTTGACGTAAGAAAAGTTGATATATCTTTTTTATGTACATACAGAAAAAAGCAGATTGTTCTGTGCTGAGGCTCCAAGCTGGGGTTATACCAAAATGTTGCCTCTGACCAAGTTTCAAGAAGATGGATTTTTGGAGAACAACAAACTAACCATTGAAGTCAACATTAAAGTAACTAAAGTTGTTGATGAAGGAAAATCAACTGAGAATGAGATTGTAGTTGTTCACGGTTTCCATGTTCTTAATAGTCAGGTAAGTCAATGATATGAACCAGATTGGTTTATATAGTAGGATTTTTGGGTCTCTTCTTTTTGGATTTAATAGCATTTCTGTGTATCACTGGCAGGTTAATTCAGTGAGCAACATGTTTGTGAAACACCCAGACGTTGCGGTAGATATTAGATCAAATATCAGAGAGGTGAAGACAGCATACATGAATATTCTCCTCGGTCTAGTCCAGACACTAGAAAAGCCTCCTCAGAGCTTGTCGGAGACTGAGCTAAGCAACGCTGACAGCGAGTTGAGTGAGCTAACTGATGCTGGCTTTAAGCTGGATTGGTTGAAGTCAAATCTTGAGGAAGTTTCCTTGAAGAGGAAGGAACCATCTTCTGATCTCAAAGTTGAATTAGAGAAGAAGAATAACAAATCTGCCACTGCTGCTGCCCCAAGAGTTTCTCCATTTGAGTGCATAGACATTCTGATAAAGAGATTCTTTTTGGCTTGCTTCTCAGGATAAATGACTTCTAGTGAGTTTGGTGAGTGTTTAATTTTTTTTGTTTTTGTCATCTTTTTTCTCTCAAACAAGTTAGATTGATAGTTCTTTTTATCCTTTCTGCCGTGTTCTCATCACTAAACTCCTTGTTTGATCAGTCAACACCCAAATGAGCTGCTTACGCTCGGTATATATGATGGTGGTTCTGAGACATATAACATATCAAGTCTCCTTAGTTATTTCGAAATTAAGGGGATGATTGGTTGGGACTGTATATGCTTTTTGGACAGCCAAAATTTAGTCAAAAGACATACTATGTCAACCAATCATGTTTTCCTTTTTAAAAAGTGGCAGTAGAAAGCTTTATTTCTAGAGCAAAAATAAGTATTTTACAAAGGTACAACATAAAAATTCTACAGCTAATAAATCTACAGCTTAAATTCTACAGCAAAAATATAAAGCTACAGCTCATTCCAATCACCTCCTAACTATTAGGTACAAATTGATGAATATATTTGTTTGAGAGTTGATAGAATCTATCTTTTAAAGTTCCTACCAAGTCTGTTATGATCAACTTCTAGAGTATATTCTATTTTGATTTGATTATCAAGACTCTTATTTGATTAATAGAATAATTATATTTTTCCCGCGCGCTCGTGCGGATGTATTTTTCAAAAATATATTGCTATTTGTTTTTCATATCAGTATTATATATCATATATGTATCATCATATAATTAATAGTATTTTATACGTACCATAATATAAACTATTGTTGGGTTTACGGGTCGACCCACTCCGCTACGAATTGAATCAATTTTTATTCAAAAATTTGTCACGCAAATGGGAAACATTATACATGAACCCACCCTGTTTAAATTAGTGGGTAAAAGTTTAATATTTTTATCAAAAATATATTTCATAAAATGTATTCCAAATCATTGAAACTTTACTTGACATATATATATATTTCAAAGTGCATATATTATTTTCAGATGAAATTCAAAATAGTATAACTGGTTATGTTTATTTTAAAAGATTTAAAACTGAAATTAGATATAATTAATCTTTTTAATTTGTTTCATGTTGATTAATGTTTATGTTATAATAAAAATGATCAAATATTATTTCTCAATTTATTTTTTATTTGATAGTTATTTTTTACGCTTCATAGAATAACCCACAAAATTTTTAACTGTAAAAACATCAAATAATTTGTATTAATATAACCAAATATTATATATACTAAGTAAATTTTCGTATTTTATTTTTAAGTAAATATTTTTTTTGTATCCACGTAAATTCATTTTGATTCTTATTTATATTTTTTTTTTCAAGTAAACATAATTATTTGTTAAAAAATGAAATTGTTCTTTATAATTAATAACAAATTAAAAGTTTTAATTGTAACCGAGATTTTATGTTTAAAAAAACATATATTGGAGATTTTTCTAAAGAATAAGAAGGTATATATCTAAATTAAATGTTATTTAATAATTGAATGCGGATATATGACTAACTTCCTAATGCAAAGTATAATTATCTTCTTATTAATGATAAGATATCGAAATATCAATAACTTCTTAAAGAATATATACCCGCGAAATATCATATCATATTGTAATTAGACTAATTAGACATATAATATTACATTAATAATGTGAGGTCTGACTTAAAAATCTCATCTAGAAGATTTCACTATAAAAATTAAATATTAAATACATGAAATTTTGAGAGAAGATATCTAGTTAGTTGATTTTACAATAACTTTTTAAATAACTTTTTCTATAACAAATATTTAAATGTAAAATATATATTAGATAAAAAAATAAATCTTTAACAAATAAACATTGGTTCTTGTTTATTTTTTTGTTGAAAATAGAAGTCAAGAAAACTTACCAATACAATCCAGTGTTGGAAGGTTGATATCAAATCTTTTGGATTTTTGTAGCGACTTTTTCTTCATAGCTATTCCAATGAAATAAATCTCTGACATTAAATGATCATGATTAGATCTAACTTAGAAAATAAATATGAGATGTGAAGATAATGAATTTACTTGAGATTTATAGAAAAGACAAATGTTTAGTTCGTTAAAAAAAGACAAATGTTTTGTTCAGAGTCTAAGAAAACGAAGATGAACAAATCATATGCTTCATAAGAGGAATCATTGTGATTGTTCATCTGCACATAAATCAAAACCAGAATCAATACACAAAAAAATATGTATATATATATGTAAAGTTAACATTCTAAAATAAGATAAATTTACTAAATCGAAAAATAAAAAATAACATCATAAAAGTTCAGTGCAAATTTGTTTGAGTAATGAAACACTGTTATTCGTAGTCATGGCGAAAGGGATTTGAGTTTTTGCTAATGGTCGATTATATGAGTCTTGGCTTGGATATTTATAGATGGATAAAATTTTGTAGGGTTTTCTATATAGTATATTGCGTGGGATCCATCTAGTTAATATTTACATATATTTAATAAAAGATATTACTAATCGGTTTTAATGGTTACATGTATTGTACTTAAATATATATTGAAAAAGAATCTTCGGATCAAATCATTTAAACAGAGTATATCTAAAATTTAGTTGTTATGGAATATTTAGATATTTTACGTGATTCTGATTCAGAATATCTAAGAAACCATAATAGAAACTTACGGCAGCAATAAATATGTGATCTTGATGTCTAAGTTTTGAGACATAGGCGTAGAATATACCTTTAATAGATATCCTACTAACAATAATATTATCTTATAATTAGACTATAGATTAATAATATGCGGCATAATTTAAAAATTCACCTAAAAGAAGTTGTAATGTTTTTGTTTTAATAAGATAGATTGTTTGATGTCAATTAATCTTACAAAATCCCACAAGATTTTAAACTGAAAATTTAATGTAGTTGGCTGTTTTGTATTTAGTTACAAGATTCCTTTTACTATAATCTTTTGACTAAATCATAAGGAAATCTATATCATCATTTTATTACTTGATTTGTAGATTTATGCTTATAATATTTAGTGTTTACTTGCTATGGAAGCATATTATGACGGCCCATTTTTAATCCAATTGGTTTATGATGAGCAGCAAAGTAATTGGGTCGGGCCATAGAAGATCCAAGTCCGTTATACTTAGTTTACTTAAGCTTTCAGACTTTTGTACAAATATCTAAGTAACCTAATTATATACTTAAGGGATAAGTAAGAGAGATATATACAAATCCAGAAAGAAGATCCTAGCCGTTGATTCAATTTGATTTCTACCGTCCATCGAGGAGGTGCTCATGTATAAAAAGGCATGATATCCTCATTTTAACATTCACCAAGTTATAAATCTACTTCTCCTCTAAAGCTTCAATCTCTAAAAACGTCCATCATTCTCTCTTTCTCTAAATACATTTGGTAAGAGGTTGACTTAGCAACTATAAGGATAGAAAGGTGGTAAGGCCACACGTTCAGGTTCAAGAGTCAGTCCCGTGTGTGTGTTACAACCTTTAACCAACTAGGCTACGTACATTTTTGGTCAAATACTTTTTTTGGTCAACACTACAAAAATATTCAGTTCCATAATTGTACTTTGCTTCCAGCTCTAGTTTTCCTGGGCCTGTGTTTTTTTTTTTTTTTTCCTGGGCCTGTGTTTAATTTCTCCTAATTAGGGTTTTGCTCTGCGCATTACAACTTTCTTTCAGAAACTATTCTACCGCTTGACGAAGGATCATCATAAGATATGGGGAATCAAATGCAGAAGAATATCTCAGGTAAGTCGTGGTTTCTCATGATTTAATTTGTTTGCGTTCAGTTTTGTTTGGTTGTTTTATCCCTCAAGACTCATAGTAACAAAGGCTAATAAATCGTTTTTCAACAGATAAGGGTGATCAGTTGCGAACAAGTTACACGTTCGAGATAAATAACTTCTCCGTGGATAAATATTCGATACATTCGCAAATATTCTTAAGCGGCGGGTGCGAATGGTAAGCGAGACGAATCAATGTTTATATGAAACTAGAATGAATACCGGTAATCCTATTAGATCATTTACCATCTACGCTTGTTTTTAATCTTTATAGGTGTGTTATAGCTCATCCCAAGGAAACCAAATTTGATGATCACTTGAATGTGTTCCTAGGCGTTCCTAATTATAAATCATTGCGAACTGGATGGAGAAGGAAAGCCAACTTTCGATTCTCTCTGTTGAACCAAACCGGAAATGTTCTCTGCGCCACAGCAGGTATATTATATTTTTCACTTTTGATTATATTTTTTAGAAAAAAAATAATTTTCTCAATCTTTAATTTGTGTTTTTATGCTACATCTTAAATTATAAAACAAGGAGAGTATTTTTGGGTTTAAACATTGATATTATTGGGAATAAAGTTAATATCTGAAAGTGGATTATGAAGAACGGCTTGTGTCCAGAATATCTTCCAAACTTTGAATATAATCATATCAGACTGAGAAGAAGAGGTGATATTTGCAATTTTTTTGTCTTGCAGAAAGTTCAAACGTCTTCTGCGCTCAGTTCCCATCCTGCGGTCATCAGATATTGCCACTTAACACCCTTAAAGAAGAAGGGTTTCTGGAAAATTGCAAACTGATCGTTAAAGTCGAGGTAAAAGTAGTTGAAATTGTTCATGAAGCAAAGTTAACTGGGAAGGAGAAGTTACTTCTCAACGGTTTTGAGGTTCCTTATAGCCAGGTATGTTTTTTTGTAGTCAGGTATGTTAAGACCATGATTAACCCGGAGTTTTTAGCGGAAGTTAAGAAACGGTTTCTTAACTTTAAATACCGGTTCTTAAAGTCCTTATTTAAGAATCGGTTCTTATCGTTTGTAGTTAAAAGTTAAGAAACAGTTTCTTAATTTCCGATAAGAACCACACCTTAAGAACCCGGGGTTAAGGAGCTTCTTTTTGGATAACTAGATTTTGTAGTTAAATAAATAATATTTGACCTATGTTTAATGTGGACTTATTACAAGTTTTGAACTTAAAACTAACTCCGTAGTAACGGTAGTAACTCTATCCGTTTTTATTTTAGTTGATTATTTCTCCAATTATGACTTTCAGTCGTTCAAGCTTATATACTTTTTTCTCGCAGGTTGCTAGAGTGCACTTAATTTTCATGAAACACCCAAACATTGCTATTGATTTCAAACCAAAGGATAAAGTTGTGAAGGCAGCATACATGAATCTTCTTCTCAACCTCATCGAAACACTACGCAAGCCTCCACAGAGCTTTTCTGAGAGTGAGCTAGGCAACGCTAAGAGCCAGTTGAATGAGCTAACAGAATTAGCGGGATTCAAGCTGGATTGGTTAAAGTCAAAGCTTGAGGAGATATGCGTGGAGAGAAAGAATGCAGATGCTGATGGATCTCGGGTTGAAGAAGTGGAAGCACGCATCAAGAACCTGGAGCTGACTTTGTCAGATCTCAAAGTTGAACTGGAAAAGGAGAAGGCTAAATCTGCTGCTGCTGCTACAACGCTTTTGTCTTTTACAGAAATTCTTATATGTCAAAAATAAAAGTTTGGAGGTTCATGTAAGGTCTCTGGGACTACCGTTACTATGTTCATTGTTTCATCGTCTGTTTAGTTCTCATCACTTTTCAAACCCCATATTTCACTTATGTTTACTCAATTACAGTGGGCCAAGAAAAGGTCCTATTATCCATAACTCGGAAGATTGTCGATTTGTGTGGGTTTTGATGGTTTTTTTTTAAACACAACTTATATTATAAAAGGCTCAATGAACATCAAAGTTTATAACTGAAGTAGAAAATCCCAGAGCCAGTTCGACGGTAGAACAAAGCTAAAAAACATTACAAAATAAATAAAGATAAAACCATCTCAGGACGAGTCATGCTCAGCAAAATGAAAAAAATCTAAAAGGAAGCTCCAATTTTGTTCCCATAACAATTGTTCGAAAGAACAATTGATAGTCGAAAACGATGTTGATACACCTATAAAAAGACGTTTATGCTTCTTTTAATCATTCACCCTTTATGCAATGTTTATACAAAAGTTAATGTATCGAGTTGTTGGTAGAGCTCTCAGGTCTGTTAAGAAAGCCATGAAGACAGTTACACCAAAAGAACTAGATCCCTCCGCTCCTCCCCTTTCATTCGAGTAATCAATTATTTGAAGAGAGTTTTTTCTGAAAATTGATTGTAAACTGGTTGGAGAATATCTCACTTCAGACAAGCGGGAAAAAAATATCAAAACCCCTGTAAAATCTTTTTCCTGGTAACCTTATTAAAATGAATACATTCAAATACTATCTTATGTCTAAAAATTTCTCGTAATAACACATAAATTTAGTAGATCCGTTTAAAAAGTATATTGGGTTCACTTTTCTAATAAATAAGAATGCATAGAGGAAATAATTGAGAAATTTTATAGGATATAGTTTTTAAAGTTTTTATCACAAAAAATAACCAATTTTTTTATTGAAGAATAAATATTTTATACTCTTATGGTTAATTAATCAAAGACATTTTTTTAGAGTTAACAAATAGAGCTTTGGGAGTGTTTAAATATTTAAAAATTTTCAATATAGTTTCAAGAAGTATATTCAAATTTTTAAAAAAGCAAACTAAAAACTTAAAAAATAAATTTGAATTTTTATTTTATTTTGATTTTGGTAAGTATATATTTATTATTTATGTATGTATAAAGTAAGGACATAAAATTTTCTTATGAAATCTTTTTGATCATTTTCTTTCATGAAGTTTTTTTGTGACAAAAATTAAACATATTTGAGAAAATTGTCTAAATTAATTCGATATTCACGACTTGGGAAAATAAACTGCGAGGTGGGTCCCACGAGTAAATGAGTTAAACAAGCCGCACGTGTGTTTTTTGAAGGTCAATGATTTGATTACTTAAAGCCAGGGGCCCACGTGCGTTAAATCCTGCCGCTTCGACTCTCAATCTATTTGACAAGATGACAACAGTTCGTGTTTATTCTTTGTCAGTTTACACGTCATTTGAACTAAAATAAACGCACTATCGTGATAATGTTATTTTAGTTATTTTATTAATAATAATAATATAGATGCTCCATGATCAGAATAACCTTTTCTACATCAAATTAATCCTCCATGATAAGCTTTTTTCATTTCTCGGTCTTGTTTTTAACGTATTTCAGATTTTATATATGCTTTGTTTATATATGATTAATAATCATATATACGTTTCTTGATGAATGTCGAAGAAGTGTTGAAATTGCTTTGACCATGCTCTTTTGATCTGTTCTGTATAATATTAGAAAGGGTTAATGACTTTGGTCTTTGGTAATGGGCTCGAAGAGTTCGGATATTATTTTAATAAACATACAAATCCATAAACGGCTTGACTAAGAATACATTGGTCTTTGGTCTTTGCCGAATCATTGTTCACAAGTCGCAACCATAATGACCTTTTTGGTCAGAAAATTGGATTGGAAATGTGTTTGATTATAAACAATTTCCATGTTTTACCACCTAAATCATATCATACTTTAAAATTATCTTGAGATCGACGAGAATGCATTTTAATAACCAACGGAATGATCTATTAGTTGCTCTTAACTTATGCAAAAGTAATTTATTTTTTTCTTAAGCTGTTAATCTTCAATGTAAAAAGATGTTACAGTGTCCATATTTTTCCAGTCGTCACTATAGATGCATGTCGAAGCAACAAATAATTTTGATATGATAATGATAAAAGTAAAAGACTAGTAAAGTGATACATTTGACTGAATATGCGGATTGAGAGTGACAAAAAATAAAAATAAATACGGATAGCATCCCAAGTGTTACACAAAAAATAAACACTCACATTACGCGTTGTTAGTAACTGTCAAACTAATTAACCAGGTGGAAGAATTGATCTTTTTAAAATGTCGACGTGAAGTACTGATCAGGTGCTTAATTAAACTTGTTTTTAACTCTTGTTAGTAATTTTCTTTAAAATGCTTGATTAGGTTACCTCGAGATTACAAACCACGAAGTCTATTACGATATATTAGGGATTACGATATATTAGAATCTCATTGGATATGGTTGTACATATATTATTTGAGTCTATCCTAGATTTCCTGTAACCGTCTCATGTAATCGTGTATATATACACACACGTTTGTCAATGAATACAACAAGCTCTTTGAGATTTAGCATGGTATCAGAGCCACCCGATGTTGGGCCACTCCGTGGATGTTGTTCCCACATTTGTCCACGCATGAGCGTGAGGGGGAGTGATAATGAATGAAACTAAGTCCCACATCGGTAGTTGGAGAAGTAATTAAGTAATATATAAAGGGTTAGGGCCAATCCACTTATAACCAATCGAGCCTCGCTTACGGACATCGGTGTCTCTGGTCCAAAACGCCAAGCTTATGTGGGATAGTTTGCAGAGGCGTTTCTCTGTAAGTGATGGAACTCGTGATCATCAGCTTCGATCGGATCTTGTTGCGTGCAAACAAGATGGTCAAACTGTTGAAAACTATTTTGGTCGTCTCAAGGTGTTATGGGATGATTTGGCGGATTTTGATGGTGGTTTTGAGTGCTGTTGTCGTGAAAGTACTTGCGTTGCCATGGTGAATTATGAAAAGTATTGTGAGAAGATTCGTGTTCATCAATTCCTCATGGGCCTTGATCACAGTCGATTTGGAATAACACGATCTAACCTTCTAAGTCGAGTTGCAGAGCTTAATCTTGATATGGTTTATTCTCAGATCGTTCAAGAGGAGCGTCACCTGAATGCAACTCGCACTCGTGAAGAACAGACTCCAACAGTTGGATTCTCGGCCTCAGCTCAATCTTCAACAACTCCCGTCGCAGCTGCTGTGCGCTTCAACAACAAAAACATGAAATGCACACATTGCGGAAAAACTGGACATGAGGTCGGTAGCTGTTTTCAGTTGAATGGCTTTCCTGACTGGTGGACTGAGAATGCAAAAGGACCAGCTCGTGGCGGAGGTCGCGGACGAGGTTCGGATAATTCAAATCGTGGAAGAGGACGTGGCTCAGGAGTTCGGGCAAACACGATGCAGGTGGCTGATGCGTCTCACTCTGCTTCTTCTTCTGGGATTCCGGCTTTCACTCCTGAACAATGGCAGTCATTATCTCAGTTCTTAGCTACTCAAAAGTCTAATGTCTCTTCAGCACCGTCTGGTAAGAGAGATAAGCTTCTACTTTTGGGTAAACAAAGTCGGTATGATATTATCATTGATTCCGGTGCTTCGCATCATATGACTGGTGATATCAGTTTGTTGACTAATGTTACTTCCATGGCTCCTTGTCCTATCGGATTACCTGATGGAGGAGTAACATGGGCTACTAGTCATGGCACATTAGATTTCGGAGGAAAACTAGTGCTGACTAATGTGTTTTATGCTTCTCATCTTACCATCACGTTAATATCAGTTGCTCAACTGCTACGTGATGTTGCTAGTTCTGTGATATTTACAAGAAAGTTTTGTGTGATACAGGACAAAGCTTCGATGACTTTGATTGGTGCGGCTGAAGAGCGTAATGGGGTTTTTCACTACAAGGGGGCAGTTGACATTCAAGCAAGCAGTGCGGTTCAGTTGCGAGATCGGAATCTGTGGCATCGCCGTTTGGGTCATCCTTCCTCAAAAGTGTTATCGTTTTTATCTAGTGTTTCTGGTGTTCTTAATTTTCCCAACGAATCTGGTGTTCCTGGTGTTTTAAATTCAGTTTGTGATGCTTGTGTTCGAGCAAAACAAACACGTGAAACTTTTTCTTCAAGTTCTAATAAAGCTGATGAACCTTTTACATTGATACATTGTGACCTTTGGGGACCCTACCGCACCCCTGCAAGTTGTGGTTCTCTATACTTCTTAACCATCGTAGACGATCATTCTCGAGCCACTTGGACACTGTTGTTACTCGAAAAATCGGATGTTGCAAACACTTTGAAGAGATTTTTTGCCTTTGTTGAACGACAGTTTGAGAAACAAGTTAAGATTGTTCGAAGTGACAATGGTACGGAGTTTACTTGTATGCGTCGATACTTTGCAGAGAAAGGCATCATACATCAAACTTCGTGTGTTGCAACACCACAACAAAATGGAAGGGTCGAACGCAAGCATCGCCATATTCTCAACGTTGCTAGATCACTTCTCTTTCAAGCTCACTTACCAATTCGTTTTTGGGGAGAAGCAATCTTGGCAGCCACTTATCTTATCAATCGAACACCTACGATGATTCTCAAAGGAAAGACACCATATGAGTTACTCTACGGAACATCACCAGCTTACGATAATCTACGTGTCTTTGGTTCACTCTGTTTTGCAAAAAGAGTGCGTCGGGATACAGACAAGTTTCAAGATAGGAGTATCCGTTGCATCTTTCTCGGTTATGAGTATGGAAAGAAAGGCTGGATTGTTCTGAATTTGGAAACAAACAAGAAGTTTGTCTCACGCGATGTTATATTTCACGAAGACCAGTTCCCATTCGCTACTGATCCTTCTCCGAACTCTGTCTCATCTCCTGCACCCACAACGAGTACTGACATTCATCCAGCTATGTTCGATGATAATAACCCCACTCTAGAAGATACACCGACAGGGGGAGTTCTATCTCCAACCGATGATCACTCCGAAATTCCCTCTGAGACCACACCGGAGGTAACTCACACTCAATCAGCAACAACTGTTCCGCAGGATGATGACTTAGGCCGAGGGAAGCGTACTCGTGTCAAATCTGTTCTTCTCAAACCTTATGTGACCTACTCTGCACAATGCTCTAAAGACCCCATTTACGCTCCTCATTCCGCCACTGATCAAACGTCCTCAAGTAAGTGTGTCTATCCTCTATCTGACTACCTGTCTTCTCATCGTTTCTCTCCCGCAGAACAGGTCTTCCTTGCCGCGGTTACTGTCAATGTTGAACCGCAATCCTACAAGGAAGCTGTAAAGGACAAGATCTGGCGTGACTCGATGGGCTCTGAGTATGGTTCTTTGGAGAATGCTAATACATGGACTGTTACTTCTCTGCCGAAAGGAAAGCGTGCTATCAGTTCCAAATGGGTTTACCGCACCAAGTTCAATGCTGATGGTACAGTTAGTCGCCATAAATCACGACTCGTTGCCTGCGGCAATAGACAAAAAGAAGGTGTCGATTACAAGGAAACATTCGCGCCGGTCATTAAAATGGGAACATTCAGAATTTTCTTGGGGGTGGCGTCGGCGCGTAACTGGGAATTGCACCAAATGGACGTCCATAATGCGTTTTTACATGGCGATTTGACTGAGGAAGTTTATATGAAGCTCCCTCCTGGTTATGAAACGAGTGATCCAAACCAAGTCTGTCGTCTTCATAAGTCTATCTATGGACTTAAACAATCTCCTCGTTGTTGGTTTGAAAAGTTATCTACTGCCCTTCTACAGTTTGGTTTCCTTCAGAGTGCTTCTGATTATTCTCTGTTCTCCTACGTTCGGAATGGTGTCCATCTCTACTGCCTTATTTACGTCGATGACTTAGTCATTGGAGGTAATGATTCAGCTTTAATCTCTAAGTTTAAAGGTTATCTTCATGAGTGCTTTCATATGAAAGATTTGGGTACTTTGAAGTATTTTCTTGGCCTCGAAGTCTCTCGTAACAGTTCTGGAATTTACTTATGTCATAGAAAATACTCTCTTGACATCATTGACGAGTGCGGCCTGACAGGGGCTAAACCAGCCGACACTCCACTAGAACAGAATCACGGTTTAGCAGCTGCAGCTGGTGAGTTGCATGAGGATCCGGAACAATACAGACGGCTTGTTGGTAGACTGGTTTATTTGGTCATCACACGACCTGAGTTGAGCTACGCAGTCCACATATTGGCACAGTTTATGCAGCATCCACGACGGAGACACTGGGAAGCAGCACTTCGTGTAGTACGCTATCTAAAAGGTTCTCCTGGTCAGGGTTTGTTTCTTAGTTCAAAGTCTGATCTCTCTCTATCGGCTTATTGTGATTCGGACTGGGCTGCGTGTCCAATTACTCGATAATCGTTGTCTGGCTATATCGTCATGCTTGGTAACACTGTGATATCATGGAAAACGAAGAAACAGAAGGTGGTCTCTAGGTCTTCTGCGGAAGCTGAGTATAGGGCGATGTCAGATGCTTATTGTGAGTTGAAGTGGATCACGCCTTTACTTGCTACACTTGGCGTTATTCAGAGACGACCCATACCATTTGCGTGTGATAACAAGGCTGCTTTACATATTGCAGCAAATCCGGTTTTCCACGAAAGGACGAAGCATGTTGAGTTGGATTGTCATTTGGTTCGAGACGCTGTCAAAGCAGGTTTTCTTGTTCCTCGTTATGTGAACACAACTGTCCAGTTAGCTGATATTCTTACCAAAGCGCTTGGGAAGCAGCAATTTCGGTTCTTACTTTGCAAACTGGGCGTTCGGGATCTTCACGCTCCACCTTGAGGGGGAGTATTACGATATATTAGGGATTACGATATATTAGAATCTCATTGGATATGGTTGTACATATATTATTTGAGTCTATCCTAGATTTCCTGTAACCGTCTCATGTAATCGTGTATATATACACACACGTTTGTCAATGAATACAACAAGCTCTTTGAGATTTAGCAAAGTCCTTTCACAAAACACTAAAAGAACACTTGTGACTTTAGGTGTGGACAACAACCGAAGCTTCTTGGTGGAGGATTGGGTTAGAATTAGATGAGATTATTTAGAGTTTGCAAAGCAAGACTAAGATCATTAATTGAATTTAGTTTAAAAGATGGCATACAGGTTAGGGGACACTTTGTCTAATAGGACCACTGCAACTTATGGGGGATTGGTGGTAGCCTAATTAACTAGACAATGCTAAGTTAATGTTAGGTAAACATGATTACTAAATGTAATATTAAAGCGTGGTCCTTTATATATCAATAAATATATAGATGAAATGATTTTCGCTGATTTGCTTCTCTAACAAGCAATCATAACATCCATCCCTCCTATGTTCTTCAAATGTTTTCTCTTTTACGAGATTTGTTTTATCAACAGTCTTTTTCTTCTTTATCTATTCATGCCTTACAAAATTAGAGTTTTATATTGAAAACAACACTGTAATGTCTGTTCTATCTTCACACAGATACATATCCTTTTTATAGTTTATTTTATACGTACACAGAAGCATTTCTTACTGACCTTTTAAATCCGAAAACAAGTTTATGAGAAGTTTAAGACATGCAATTTGCAATCATCAGGCGTGAATTTGAATTATTATTATTAACCTAAATGAATTACTCCCTCTGTTCCTAAATGATCCATTTTTTAGAATTTTCACATTTATTAAAAAAACACTTAAAATTTTGATAATAAATGCATTATTTTATGTGTTTAGCTATTTCATATGATTTTTAACTAATCAAAATTCAGTAACGTAATTATTGTTTTTGAAGTTTACAATTTACCATTATTACATACATTGAAAATGTAAAATATGAATTTTTTAGAAACAAAATATTTTTCTAAAATATGGATCATTTATGAAAGGAGGGAGTATAATTTAAACATCTAACACTATATCGATGAAATGAGTTGGTAAATTAATTACGATAACTCGTTGAAACCATTGAATATAAGCTAGCCACTGCTTAACTTTAGCCGCGATCGCTAATTAGCATTTGCAGAACAAACAGGCATGTAGAAAAGTTTATTGATAGCATGTGGAAAATCCAATGCTTTGCTATCTTTTGTTTCTTGTCAAAAACCATCTCATTTCTACGCAGTCATATCTACATAAGTTACCAACTTATTCTTTTTTGCCAAAGTACCAACAACCAACTCATATTATTAGCAAAAAAAAGAAAAGAAAAAATTATCTTAATTCTTCATCATTCTAAGAGCCAAAGCCTGAAGCTCGCCTAAATCGCTATTACAATAACTCACTGATCTCTTTTTGTTAGGATATCCTTCCTGAAACCCTAACTCACCCTGACCGTATACACCAACTCCGGTTTGATTAGTCTCTCGCACGTTAGCTGTAGCTGTGACGTCACTGCTCGTGTTGCTGAAAGATCCTTCTAGTGAGCTCTGTGGCGAGACTGGATTATTAGGGTTTATGTGATCGTAGTAAGTATGATGGAGACGGTTATATGGTGTTGAGTATACACTATCGATCGGTGAGCCACTAGCTTGTGGCCACGTGGCGAATTGGTGAGTACTGGCGGCCGACGTCTGGTGGCCGGCGATATGTGCCTTCATTTGCATGACTTGTGCTTGCAAGTAAGCCACCTATGTATAAACCAATCAAAAGCTATTCGTTAGACAAGATTGACTCAATTCTACCTAAATCTTGAAAATTCACACACACATATTTAAAGAAGAATTAATAAAATTCATGAATATGTATATGAATTCGTGAATATGTATTTTTATATATAATTTAATTATTTTCTTTTCATTAAATTTATTGTTTTGTGCCAAGAAAAGAAAGGTAAGATAATGGGTTGCATCTTTATGCAAATTCAAATGGAATTTCTAAACATATTTATTTGTAATTTACATATTATATATATATATACACTAGTTCATTATCTATTACTAGTAACTAATGAATCATGTATTATAAGAGATTTGCTTATTTGTTGCTTTTTAATATCAAAGCTTTTAATCAATTAAACTCGGCTCAATTTCTTTTATTTCTTAAATGGTTGAGCCGAGTGTAAACTCGAAAAAAATACGTTTAAATATTTATCTCTTTGAAACAGAAATAATTAATGTTGTTTACTCTAGATTTTGGCGAATCGGAAATGCCAAATGCATGAAAGAAAAGTCATGACATGAATTTATTGGAAAACAGCTTACTAATTGTAGTAACATCTCCGTAACGTTCTTCTTATAAACTGCTATATCCGTTTCAATATAAGTGTCACTTTGATATATTTCACGTAAATTAAAAAAAAAATGAACAAATATATTAGTATATCTTTATTTAATGTGTAATCATTTAGATAAATATATATATATATATTTCTATTTAATGTGTAATCATTTATATATTATATATATATACACTAGTTCATTATCTATTACTAGTAACTAATTTATCATGTATTATAAGAGATTTGCTTATTTGTTGCATTTTAATATCAAAGCTTTTAATCAATTAAACTCAGCTCAATTTCTTTTATTTCTTAAAAGGTTGAGCCGAGTGTAAACTCGAAAAAAATACGTTTAAAAATTTATCTCTTTGAAACAGAAATAATTAATGTTGTTTACTCTAGATTTTGGCGAATCGAAAATGCCAAATGCATGAAAGAAAAGTCATGACATGAATTTATTGGAAAACAGCTTACTAATTGTCGTAACGTCTCTGTAACGTTCTTCTTATAAACTGCTATATCCGTTTCAATATAAGTGTCACTTTGATATATTTCACGTAAATTAAAAAAATGAACAAATATATTAGTATATCTTTATTTAATGTGTAATCATTTAGATAAATATATATATATATATATATATATATTTCTATTTAATGTGTAATCATTTAGATAAATAAATATATATATATATATATTTTTTTTTTTCTATTAAATGTGTAATCATTTATATTATATATATATATATACACTAGTTCATTATCTATTACTAGTAACTAATGAATCATGTATTATAAGAGATTTGCTTATTTGTTGCATTTTAATATCAAAGCTTTTAATCAATTAAACTCAGCTCAATTTCTTTTATTTCTTAAAAGGTTGAGCCGAGTGTAAACTCAAAAAAATACGTTTAAACATTTATCTCTTTGAAACAGAAATAATTAATGTTGTTTACTCTAGATTTTGGCGAATCGAAAATGCCAAATGCATGAAGAAAAGTCATGACATGAATTTATTGGAAAACAGCTTACTAATTGTCGTAACGTCTCTGTAACGTTCTTCTTATAAACTGCTATATCGTTTCAATATAAGTGTCACTTTGATATATTTCACGTAAATTAAAAAAATGAACAAATATATTAGTATATCTTTATTTAATGTGTAATCATTTAGATAAATAAATATATATATATATATATATTTTCTATTTAATGTGTAATCATTTATATATTATATATATATACACTAGTTCATTATCTATTACTAGTAACTAATGAATCATGTATTATAAGAGATTTGCTTATTTGTTGCATTTTAATATCAAAGCTTTTAATCAATTAAACTCGGCTCAATTTCTTTTATCTTTTAAAAGGTTGAGCCGAGTGTAAAATCAAGATTTTGGCGAATCGAAAATGCCAAATGGATGAAAGAAAAGTCATGACATGAATTTATTGGAAAACAGCTTACTAATTGTCGTAACGTCTCCGTAACGTTCTTCTTATAAACTACTATATCCGTTTTAATATAAGTGTCACTTTGATATATTTCACGTAAATTAAAAAATGAACAAATATATTAGTATATCTTTATTTAATGTGTAATCATTTAAATAAAATAATTTTAAAAAATATTTATTGGTTAGCTAAAAGGATAAGAAAGAGATTATGTGTCAAAAAATTGCATTAAAAATATAAATAACATTTATTTTGAAAAAAAAAATTAGAATGACACTTATTTTGAAAAAACAGAAAGAAGTAAAGAAATAAAGAAGATTGTGTGCATGGAGTTAGATTTCCAATAAAATCTTGAGAATTTAGTTGATAGTAGTTCCTCAGGATTTTATTGGAAATTTAACTCCATGCACACAATCTCCTACCAATATAATCAACAACCATATAAAATCCAGTGACTATAAAAAATTTGATGAATTAGTAGTGATTGCTCAATTAATCTACCTGTTGTTGGAGGGAGAAAATATGAGAGACACAGCCATACACAGGATCATGAAGACGAGCCTGAGCTTCATAGGCGATTGTGACAACAGCTTCACATCGATCTTGGATTGGGACATTAAGCAAGAGCTTGGAGACGTTGCTGGCTCCAAACACCTTGTGAATAGCTGCGAATCTTGCTGCTCCCTGCTCCGATGAGAAGTAAGGTGCGAATATACAATCCGCTAAACACTTCCTCCTCAGGAACTTGCACGCGCCGCACGGTGAACCTGTCCCTGCCGTTGTACTGTTACCGGAAGTTGCCATCGACGAAGCAAACAAAAAGGTGATGATCTTTACGTTATTTTTGTACACAAAAGAAAGAAGGATTCTCTTGTTTTTGTTCTCTTTTATAAGATTGTTTTTTTCAAGATATCTAAAAAAAGTTTGGAACAAGTGATGATTTTTGAATTGGGATCGTTGGAGATGTCCACGAGCAAACTAGGAAATAGTGATGGAGGAAAAAGAAAAAGAAATGCAATGATGATGGAGAATTGTGAAGTGTTTTGACTTTGGGTGGATTTTATAAAGGAACATTATGATGATTGAGAAGAGGCCTTTTTCTTGGGCCGACTCATTATATGTTCTATCAATGATCATAAACAATCACATAATATGATAATGTTTTAATAAGTTTCTTGTGGTCTACCATATTGTATTAGCTTTCTATATAAAATGCTGTAATTCTCCATCACTAGAGTTTTGAGCCACACTTATTTCGTTTAGAAATTGTAATATGTGATGAAACAGTAAGTATAGTATCGTAAATTAAAAATAATAATGGAGTTTAGAAAGTCTTTAGTATTTGCTTTCACAATAAACTTTATGCTACAGTTACGTGTTGGTAATGATTTGATTATAATTTCGATTTTCTACCATCGTAGCTTTTCACAAACAAACTTGAACACCACAATAGTAAACAAGACTATATATACATTATCGACAATAATTCGAGGCCTTACTTTTTTGTTTGCATTTATTAAATACCCTTTGTATAAGATGCTTAAGAACTATTTTATTGTATTTATTCATTATCTCATAAATGATGAAAATGTATAAGAAGAATTGCCTGGTTTATCATAAGGAAATTGCTTACATAATTATCGTTATGTGATACTATTTTATTTTATTTTTATAAAGAAAAATAATACAGTAATGTCCAAATTTATCGTGTGAGCCAAATTGAGTGAATGGTAGACAATGGAGGCCCACATGTTGAATTCTAAGGTGACAATCAACAATGGAAAGTGCAACATAGAGTTCTATTTTATTAAAAATATTTTTGTAAAGCAATTATTAATTGTTTCTAAATTAGTCCAACTTATCTTTCTTTTCATTCGTCAATTTCTACAAAAAAATATCCATATTCTTGGTAATGAGGTAGTCTTAGGTCTTCTATCACTTATTTCGTAGTATTATTTTATACACGGATACGTATGTTTGTTGAAGTTTCATCAAAGCAAAACTAACTTATTAATCAATTATTTTGAGTAATTTATAAGTTCTTCCGCCGAACGCCGGACATCGGAACTGCTGCTGTATGTCGTGACGTGGGGGACCGGGTAAACCGGTAAATGCCGGTAAAGTTGTACCGACAAATGCTAATGTCATGAATGTATCTGGAGGCCATTTTTGTAGTTTGAATGTATTTGGGAGGCCATTTTTGTAGTATAATTGTTAATTACGTAATTATAAGCTATTGAACTCCCTTTATGACACAACAAAACACTAAAGCTCATGGAGTGAGTTGTAGCTGGTACAGACTAGGATTCAAATCACCTGAGGAGATAGTAATCAGAATGTAATAATGTTTCTACATGCCAAAAGAATTAATATAATGTAATTATGGATTTTGTACACGAGAGAGAGATGGTGCGGTGCAGTCAGGATAGTGTGTCCATGTGACTTCACTGAACACTCGTGTGCTTATGAGTTACGTGGATGTGAATATAGTTTTAATAATTAGCCCTTTGTCAAAAAAAAGAATATAGTTGGTAACTTTTTTTGGTCATTTTAACATAAGAAAGCCACTGTCATGAAACAAACCATACTAAAAGCTAGTACCAAGACCAGAGAGACACCCACACAAGAGAACCCTCCTAATTGGTGATTTTATTATGGGCATTTTTCTAATTAACCAACCCAAAAATTAGAAACAAACACCTGAACATTAAAATGGAATTATATATTATGGTTATTAGTTATCAAGACAAGAAATTATAGGAAAATTCGAACTCATGCATTTTAAGCCCTGTGTTTTATTGTTACCTCCTGCCACAAGGTATTCATTCATTCCCAAGGTCAGCAAATAGTTTGGGACTTGATCGAAGGAATGATTATGAGAAGCAAAATGGGCCGGTAAAGTCCAAATGGGTTTATTTACAGAGGCTCAACCAAAAATTATTGCACCAGCCGGGAAGCGAACCCGGGTCTGTACCGTGGCAGGGTACTATTCTACCACTAGACCACTGGTGCTTCGATGTTTAAAACTCTACTAAAACTTAAGTTCTTATGGTGAAAACTGTAGTTGTCCGGATGTTAGTAATGTTAGGAGCTTTGATGGTCTCGGAGTTGTACAGATTCTCAAGGATCATCATTTAGGGACTGTGACTTGTGTATGTACCTGAAGTTGTCATGAAGTTTTATTTCAGCCTACATACCAAGCAAGTAAGAGACGAACAAGATATTTGTAAGATGTCATATGTATGAATTATCTACTAAATCGTAATCCAAACTTACATGGTTGAATCTGTGTGTTATGCTTGTTCGTTGAATATTTTTTTCCAACTGAGGAGACATTGTAGACTTTGTAGTATCTGAGATGTTGATACAAATCAGAAGCTCTCTAAAGAAACGATGAATCTAAACTACTTAACGTTAACTACATGTACATGTGACCTAGAACCGTACAAAATAAAAAAAGGGAAATTTGCCCCTATAGCCATAAAAAATACTGATAGGCAACTTGGTTAAAACCGATCAAAGCAACTCGGTTAAACCGATGCAAAGGAACCGATCCAAGGTTCTCTGTAACTCCTTTTGCAGGTATGGAGCTTGTCTTCTCCCTTCAGCTAGTTAGATAGGTATGTATTGGTGATCTTATGGATGCTTAGGCGTCGGGCTCTCGGCTCAAGATCAGCTAACTTATAACTTCAGGAAACTCTGGTTACATATAATATTCAATCATACTTTTCATGTGATGCTTCAAGGATTGCCTTCGGACAGCGACAAGAAAATAAATTAAAAATTAGAAGAATTGGAGCGACATGTTGTGATTTGTGATCGCGTATAAAATATTGTACCAAACACAGAATACTTCGTCTGATTTTAATATATTTGTTTTCTCAATTTCTCAAATCGTAGAATGTAATTTCAGTATAAACAATTTTGAAAACGTAGATGGTTGCGTTGTGTTACTATAAAACCAGCTTAACTATAAATAGACAAGTATACAAAATTCAGCCGCAATTTTTTTTTTTTTTTTTTGGTAAACATGTTAAATTATTATACCAATTTTTAATTTGTGACAGAGATTACACAGATTACTAGTAGCAGAATTCAAAATGAAAACTAAACAACCAAACTTAAACTAAACTAATTAACACAAAACAGGCCCAAACCAATCCCAAACTGGGCTCGGCCTAAGAAAGCCCAACAAACCAGAAGACCACAAAAGGCCCAAATACCAAAGAGCCTCAGAAACCCTAGCCGACTGTTCAACGAAAACGCCGCCGCCGAACACACGAACTGAGACGAACGCCAACGCCGAGCCACCGCAGACGGAAGAGGAAACAAGGATTCGGCTGAGCAAGACACCCGAACACACATACGAAACCACCACCGGTAGATTCAAATCGACAAAAGTCTGTGAAGGACCATGAGTGGGGAATCTCACCGGGAGGGACTTCACTGCAAGAGACGGAAAGACGTCGGAGCCGAGCCGGTAAGGAAACCGATGCCGTAGTCAGCCGCTGCCGGAATCCCTTTCAAGCACTCGCCGTCGTCCTCGAACGGCGATCTTACTCATGGATCCAAGCAGTTCAAGCTCTTCCGCCTCACCTCACCGCCATAGACCACCAACCAGATCACAGTCTCCCCCCCTACACCGACAAGAAACCGATCTAAACACCACCGGCGTTCACAAACGGGAAGAAGCAACCGCGACTCTTGAGGAAGCACACCGGTACCTGTCCTCAACGGAACCGGACATGCACGAGCGCTAGAGTCACCACCACCACCTGGACAAAGCAGAAACGACATGAGAGCTCGAGATCCGCCACATCTTCTGCTCCGGTGAGATTCAGAGGCCACAGATGAAGAACGAAGAAAATAAAAACGGTAGAGTCGTCCCCTCACGGCACCGGCGAACCGAGAGCCGGAGGGGCGGAGGCTAGAAACGATGGAAGAACCCTACTTTTTAGAGAGAGGTTGGAGAGATAAGGTAGAGAGAGAGATAAGGTTGTTATTTTAAAAACTTTCCTCCAATTCAGCCGCAATTTATTAATAAAAAACAATTGATAGAATGCCAAAGATTCAAAGATAAACGAGGACATAACTTTGGTATTGTATGGCCTCACCAATGTATATATATTTTGCATTATATGGTTTTAAGTGGATATATTTTATTCAAAAAGACGAGTAGTAATGAAGTGATGCGACTGTTGAAATTAGGTTCTCGTATTCGGATATTCGGTTTAATTTCAAGTAGGAATCATTCGGTTCCAGTTCCAGGTATTTTGGATAAATCATTCCTATATCAAATAGGTAGTTATGAGATTTCGATTCGGTTTAAATTCAATTTCTGGATATCCGTTTAATATGTGAATCAAATATATATATATATATATAATATTAGTTAATATGTTAATTTAAATGTTCTAGTATTTTCATGATTACGTATTCGTCAATCCAACAAAACTTGAGTCAATAAAATTTTAATTTTATAAATATTTGCTATATTTTAATATAGAAATACTATATATATTTATAATACTTATAAGAGAGTATATAACAAATTATGTGGTCTGATGGTAACACTGTTCTCAATCTTTTTATCCAACATGAGTTGAAATAAGTTTAATGTCATTTAATCTTATACTAAAAAATTAAATTTATTTTTCGGATATTCAGATATCCTATTCGGTTCTAATTCTAATTCGTTTTTTTTTTTGTGCCTAGGACTAGTTGAAATTAGCTACATTGCACTTCAATAGGTTGGCACTATCTTGCTTTTTTTTTGAGATAAGCTAAGAATTAGTATATTCGCTGCTAGTGAGCAAAATAGATGATCAACAACAAACCATTTTCATTTTTGTTAATCAAATGATTTGTAAATCTATATCATATATATCTACAATAGATAACAATATAAATTTATAAACACTGAGACATCCAAATATATATACCTACCTACAAAGAGAGAAAAATATTAATGATATGTATATCTACATCATAATTTCACTTCAGTAGGTTTACATTCCAAATTTGTTACAAAAGCAATAAATATATCATACATTATTTTTTTTATGTTGACTAACAAATTTATATCGATGCTGTGAACCACATCGGTAGCTCTGTATCTATATGAACAACAAAAGATGATTGTTTTCTGGCACTGCGTGCTAGACTGTCCGCTTGTGAATTTAATGTTCTTGGTACATAGATGATTTCCGAGCTATGGAAACTCCCATTAAACGTTTTAATATCTTCCAGATAATTTTCAAAGGGTAACCATTCGTCTGATTTTGACACCATCTTCACCAATCGAGAATAATCTTGTTTAGAATATAATCATACATATCTAACAATATTAAATTACGAAATTACTTAGCCATCAAAATATATATTAGAATATACTGTTCAGAATATAACCATTTTCAACTTAAAATCTTGTTAATGTAAACATCGTGGTCTAGTGATAAATGTTAAAGGTTTTAACACTCATATTTGGGGTTTAAACCTCAGACTATGCAATTTCTAGGTCTCAATTTCTGGAGAAGACAAATTATGCAGAAAATTAGAAAAAAAACTTACGAGAGATCTTCAGCATGGCGTAAAGAGTACCGTCATGAATGGATCTCATAGGGTGGCTAAATGTGATGCAATCAGACGTGAATCCGCATAAGACAGGTAAAAGTGTCGTCAATAATATCATCTATGTAATATTTTTTATAATTTGTAATAGCATAATTATTCGGGCAAGAAAAAAAACTTAAAATCTTGTTTTTCACTATTTCCTCGTTTTCTCATTTAAAAGAAATCGTTTAATTAATTATTGTCTGACACACTTTTAGAGAAAAGTTCACTGAAAATGTTCCATAAATTATTCCGATTTAGAACACTATCTGCCGGAATGTACAGACCAAAAATCCGAAACTTACCCAATTGAAAGAATGAATGGCAACTGTCCTACATGTGTGAGTAGTCTGGTGACAAAACAGATAAAGAGAAAATGATAGTACACGAAAAAGATCACATGGACTCGCACATCAACATTAACTAAATATTATCCATATATACATATATATAGCGTATGATAAGTAAGTCATTTTCATTTACTCAACTAGGTTATATAGATAATACTGTATGCTACTAACTCATGTAATCATTAATTCAACTAAGTAGGCTTGTAATCTCTTCTCAAAAAAATTATTAATCGACTGATATGGTGTACAACAAAACTATAGATATATACTTTTATAAAGAGAAAGACTGTATCAAGCAAACTAAAAAGGGGTCACAAGGACATGTGCTTGCTTAATTCCTCCTCCAAATTTCTTCTGGTTAATTTAGGGGAAGAAAAACGAATGGGTGAAACCTTAGCCTCTCTTCCCAAGACAGCTGTTTCATAGCTGTCTGATCTCTATCTTCCCCTCCATGTGACCCTACTCCAAGCTAAACAAAAACATTTCAATCACATAGAATTGATTATGTTCTTTCAAAAAAAAATCACATTTATATATCTCATTCATCCACCCTCTATATCTATATATCTCCTTAATATAACCTACCATTCGTTAAACATAGCCATTTTGGTTACTCATTTCCGTTTCTCCCTTCTTCTCCTCCTTCCTTTCTCTATTTTCCTATATATGGTTTAGGACGTTGATCTGATTCCACTTTCAAATTTCGTTTTTTTCTCTTTCCTTTGTTTTCGTTTTAGGTTTTTGTTATTATGTTTTGGGTTTTTCTCTTCTAATTAATTAAGATTTTCTCCATTAATCTTGTATATTCAGAATTTGTTTTTTTTTTCTTTCAATGGCACAACTCCCACCTAAAATCCCCAACATGACACCACATTGGCCTGACTTCTCGTCCAAAAAACTCCCTCATTTTCCCACCGCAACCGCCGTACAAAACCCATCATGGGTCGACGAGTTCCTCGACTTCTCAGCATGTCGCCGCGGCAACCACCGTCGTTCTATAAGCGATTCCATCACCTTCCTCGAAGCTCCAATCGCCACAAGCCATATGGAAGAACACAACTTCGATAAGTTCGACGACGAGCAGTTCATGTCCATGTTCACGGACGACGATGATGACTTACGTAATTATCCTTCCCATAACAACAATAAGAATGTGGGACCCAGTGAATCTTCCTTGAATACATCCACGCAGGTCGATCATAAAATCTTTAACGACGATAAAGAACCACCGTCCGATCATAATATGAATGATCATAATAAAAAAATTAACGAAGAGGTCCGGGGCCAATGCAAGACGGAGCCTGAGGATGATAGTAACAACTCCGGCGAGAGCTCCGGCAAAAGAACTCTCGATCCCAAAAGGGTTAAAAGGTAACTTTTTATTCATAATCATCGTCTTACTACTGCAAAACCAAAGATCATGCATGCACGTACAAAGATTACATAAGTTAATAATCATTACGGAAAATTAGCGTTACATTTTTGTGGAATCATAAAAGTTTATAATCAGCGTTACATCTATTTATTTAAATGAACCTTTCTTTTTGATAAAGGGTTTCCTAAAATTAATAAAAGTCAAACAAAATATTACAGAGAAAGAGAGAGTTTAAGGGAGAAAGAATTAAGTTTTAGCTTAAGTAATGAACTTTAAATAAGCTTTTGGAATGGTTCAACAGAATAATAGCAAATCGGCAATCAGCACAGAGATCAAGGGTGAGGAAATTGCAATATATATCAGAGCTCGAACGTAGCGTCTCTTCATTGCAGGTACATTTCCATTTTCATATAGCCTTTTATAATATTTTTATATGATTGTAACATTAAACCATTTTCTGTAAAAAAATGAAATTAAAGGCGGAAGTATCAGTGTTATCGCCAAGAGTCTCGTTCTTGGATCATCAGCGTTTGCTTCTCAACGTCGACAACAGTGCTCTCAAGCAACGTATCGCTGCCTTAGCCCAAGACAAGATTTTCAAAGACGGTAAGTTTCTCTTCTTTTTTTTTACGCTATAGTTCTTACCTTCCATGTATCTGAGTATGTCTTTGTGTGTCTAATAAATATTATGTATCTTCCTTTCTTCGTCGTTGAGGTGTTCAGTTATATATATATCACTGACAATATATGAGCAGGCCCAATAATTTTATTGCTTTAGCCGTTGCTAACAAAAGGTTTTTAAAATAATTATAATTTGCAGCACATCAAGAATCATTGAAAAGGGAAATAGAGAGACTTCAACAAGTATATCAACAACAACGCCTCAATAACATAGAGAATGCAAATTATTCACCAAAGAAAGGAGCCGGAGCTACTTCGGCTGTCGACATAAAAGCGTCTATTGAAAAAGAACAAATGCTCAACGTCTGATAAATCAATCACAACCAACAATATATATACTCATTTTTCTTTGCAAGGTCTTGACTGTGAATCAATCACAGTCAAGAGTTTTAGAAGATGATCTTTTATGGTCAGCACATGTTTTAAGTTGTGATGAATTCAGTTTGATGTACTGTAAATCAATCACATTCAAGAATTTTAGAAGATGATCTTTTTATGCTTAGCACATGTTTTAAGTTGTGACGAATTCAGTTTGATGTATATTATCTTTTTTTTTTGTGTATCGTTTGTTTATGTGGGGTTAATGGAAGGGAAATACTCAATTGCATTTTGTACAAAGAATTAGTTGATTTACTACTTTTTAATAATGTATAAGAATTTGTAAATCTACATAGTTCAGTTCATCATTTTCTACTCTCTTGAATTTTTCTAGTTTTGATTAGATATATAGGTTAAACAATAGGGATTTTTGCAAATTTGACTCAAAACTCAAAGTCAAACATAAAACTAACCTTTCTTGTTTTTTGATTTTTTTAATTTGTCTTATTCACCCCATCTGTTCACATTATTTACGAAAATAACATTACACTTTTTTGTTTTTTGAAAATTGTTTTTTTACTCTCTCAACCTCATCATCTTCAAGTATTTACAAGATTGACATTGCCATCAATACCCTAACTACCATGAACAACCAATTTGAAGCTCTTAATGCACCTAAAATCGATTTACACTCTCTCTTTCTCAATTGTTATGAACTAAAAACAACATCTCTTTCACTTTGTCTCCATATTCATACAAAAACCTAAGCTTTTGATTCAAAATCTTTTATGGTTGATAGAGCCATTTAAGCATCAATTCTTGGTGGGTTACTTTCATTTTATATTCTGGGTGGTTGGAGAAGACTTTGTGTGCTAAGAAAGTCATCTCATCTAGTTTAAGGTATGAAACTGAAATTTTTTTCCATTCTGGATGAGCTGGACGACTTACTTCTAAGTCGTCCAACTTCTAAGTCTTCCAGCGTTGTATGTTAAAAAAAAAAAATCTGGACGACTTATAAGTAAGTCGTCTAGGAAAAACGGGCTAATTTTGCATTTGACCGAATTGTGTCAAATATTTGATTTTTCAGACGACTTACTAGGAAAGTTAAAATTTCAATATTTTATTAAATCTGGACGACTTAGGGATAAGTCGTCTTAGGTTAGTTTTATAATTGAAAAAAAAGCTTTAATTTCAATTTTTTCCAGAAGACTTAATTTAAAGTCGTCCAATCAGACGACTTTATTTTAAAGTCGTCCAGTCAGACGACTTATTCTAAAGTCGTCTGAGATAAGTAAAGTCGTCAAGATTTTTTTTCGGTCAAACTTTGCTTATCTCGGACGACTTTCTTTATATAAGGAAACTGTAAATTCTTCTTTATATAAGGAAACGAGAAATACTCTGCCTTTAGTTTGCAGCAAGAAAAGGAGATGCTTATAAAGGATGGAGAGAAACAGCAAAAGCAGTTGAACGACTTGGTATATATAATATATTGCAGAACAACTAGACCGAACTGAGTTGGAGAATGCTGCGTCTGGGAATTTAACATTGGATTCATTAGCCAATCGTTTCAAGGACCTGCTTCCTAGCTATCCTAATTTTTCATGTGTTGTTTCCTCACTAGCCTTGCCTCTCTTTACCTTGATGTCTCAGTGTTGGGACCCTCTTAGTGATCCAGGCATGGTGTTGAGACTATATCTTCCTGGAAAATGCTGCTGCAACCTGAGGACATAAGCCAGCTTGTCTCAGAAGTAATCTTACCTGCTGTGAGAAGGTCAGTCATCAATACTTGGGAACCTAGAGACCCTGAGCCAGTGCTGAGGTTTATAGAGACATGGGGAACATTGCTGCCTTCACCTATTCTTGAGACGGTTTTGGACACAGTAGTGCTGCCAAAGTTGGTAACAGCTATTGAATCTTGGGACCAACGTTTGGAAGAAGTTCCAATCCATGTTTGGGTGTATCCATGGCTGCCACTGCTTGGTCAGAATTTGGAAGCTGCGTATCAGATCATTCTGATGAAATTTAGTAACCTTCTCGATGCTTGGCATCCTAGTGATGCTTCTGTCCGCACTATTCTTTCCCCTTGGAAGACTCTTATTGATGCTGCAAGCTGGGGGAAGCTTATGTGTCGTTGCATAGTTCCCAAGTTGCACCTTGCTTTGCAAGAGTTGAAGATAAACCCCGGAGACAAGAGTTTAGACCAGTTTGATTGGGTTATGGGGTGAGCATCTTTAGTACCCATACATGTAATGATTGAGTTGACACAGAGGTTCTTTTTCCCCAAGTGTCTTGATGTTTTACGTCACTGGTTGTGTTCAGAACCAAACTTTGATGAGATAAGAAGCTGGTTTTTGAGTTGGAAAAGATTATTCCCGGAGGAGCTTTCAGCAAACAAGAGGGTCCAAATCCAGTTCAAGCGTGGTCTAGATATGGCGATGGAAGCAGTTGAACAGGTGGAGACGTCTCAGCAAAGGGAAAGGGAGAAGATACATTACCACAAGGCACCAGGGCAGAGGCAGTTCAAGGGTCAGAGGGATGGCCTTGAGGAGATAAGTTTTAAAGAAGCTGTGGAGTTATTTGCGCAGGAGAAGGAGCTGCTGTTGAAACCCAAACCGCATAGAATGCACAACGGTCTACAGGTTTATAGTTTTGGAAACGTGAGTGTGGTACTAGACTCAGCTAACTCTAAGCTGTTGGCTCATGAAGCAGGTGGTTGGTTTCCTGTAGATTTTGACGGTTTGCTGAAGATGCACTACAGTGCTCTTGCTGGAAAATAATAAAACATTTCCCCTAAGAAGGAAAAAAAGGAGGTAATATATTGCTTACGATATTCTCTGTTTCCCCTGCTTTGTAGTAACCCATCTTTTAGGAAATAGGAACGTTAGCAGAAGAAGCTGCGTCTGGAACATCATGAAAGGGTTGGAAACATGAACCACGTACGGGTAAAACCAGAAGAGTTCATGGTATGAAGTATCTGCTACAGCTAAATCTTTTTACCTTTTGTGGTATCCGAGTTTAAGTATACCTTGGCTTGATCAGTTACTTATGTGCCACTATGTTTTCTTTGTTAGACAACGCATACTTGTAGTTCATGTGTTTTCAGGTTACTAGACAGGACACTGATGAAGAGATTGACAATCCTGAAAGACTGAAGGATAGAGTTTACAGCTTTTTTTGAACACGGAATAACTTATGATTTTCCCGCTACATGATCAGTGTGATCTCTGTGTGTTTTGTTGCTTGTTTCAGGATGCTTTGGAAGCATCGACATTCCTTTGCAAACGGGGCTACAGGAGTAGAGAAGTCACTATGTTGTTATATTCAGATCTTTTTTGCCTATTATGGGATACCACTTGTATTTGATCTACTTTGAATAAAATGCTCTACACAAGGCTTAGAACCTTTTTTCAAGTTGTCAATAATGTTCAAAACTATTTACCATCTCAACCATTAATAATTGTTGTGAGTTAACAAAAGTTGGTATCATCATATAAATGTTAAGCTCTTGTCATTACCGAGTTCTAACATTTCTTGATTCTGCAAGCACCCAACACTGATAAAATGAGGAGTAAAAAGCCTAACAAACACCAAAACCGAAACCTAGCCAGAATTTCCAACCACTTCACAGCATACCAAACTAAAATGTGAATGCTGCACAAAGCTGAGGGAATCTAATTAGGAGCCTTTTTGAAGCATGAAATCTCTATGAAACAGAGGAACATTCCTTCTCCTAGTTACAGCTATACTATCAGCTTCTGAGTAAAACAACAAGTGACAAGCAGAAAGATGACAAGTGACAAGCAGAAAGATGAATTTGATCAGGAAGCATCAGACTCTGATACAATGCACATTAAACTCCTAACACATAACAAAACTGAAGGAACTGAAACCTAATGTTTTGCACAACATCTAACAATGGCTGCTGCTGCCATGAGAACCCCACCCACTTTAAATCATACTAAACACAGTGTCAAAGCTGTACAAAGCTACAACCATATACCATAGCGAAAACCTATACTAACGAACCTTCTTGAAGCATGACATGTCTACAAAAAAGAGGAACATATCTTCTCCTAGTTACTGAAATCTAGTGTTCTGAAACTAACAAAGGCTGATGCCTACTACAACCGGTACTGAATTATGCAAGCATCCAACACTTGATAAAATGAGCAGTAAAAGAAACTAACAAAGACCAAAACTGAAGTCTAGTGCTTTGCACAGCATCTAACAATGCCTGATGGCCATGAGAACTCTAAACCACTTTAAACCATACCAAATTCAATGTTAACGCTGCACAAAGCTATAACCATAATACCATATACCATACGAAATCTATACTAAATTACTAATGAGCCTTCTTGAAGCATGCCATGTGTAACACAACAGAGAAACGTTCCTTCCCCTAGTTACTGAAACCTAGTGATCTGAATCTAACAAAGGCTGAATCGCTGATGCTTAGACCAACCCAATAGTGAATTATGCAAGCACCAAAACACTGATCCAATGAGTAAAAAAACCTTAACAAATAACCAAAACCAAAGTTTACTGTTTTGCACAGCAGCTGATACCATGAAAACTCTAACCACTTTAAAAGCATACTATAATCATACACTAATGAGCCTTATTGAAACATACTATAATCATACACTAATGAGCCTTATTGAAGCATGCCATGTCTACTTACAAGCTATACTAATCAAAACAGAGAAACACTCCTTCTCCTACTTACAAGCTATACTAATCACCTCCTCTGAGTCGAACAATCAATCGACGAATCAAATCATTCAGAAACAAAAAAAATACCAAATCAAATTGCAGATGTTAATCCAAAATTCAAAACAAAGCAAACTCAAAAGTGATCAACTTTGAGAATTATTATGAGTCTAAACAGTTAAAAACAAACACTTATTTCATCATTATCCACAAAACACACTGAAACCAAACTTCTTCTTCAGGAAACCCTAAAAACCTCAATCGGACGAATCTCCGAGCCTCTCCATCTCGAGCCTTTCTAGGGCCTTCTGATGAGCCCAAGTCTCGATCGAAAGATCAGGCTTCGCGTTCAGCCCCACGCCGAGGATGACGATCGTGAGGAAGCTCGTGATGTAGCAAGGAAGCTCCCAATCTTCCCATTTCCGCGATTGTCCCGGTGGCGGAGGAGTGCGGTTCATGAAGAAGCCTTTGGGGCGTTCTTCGTGGCCAGGCGTCGCCCATCGGCTCGGCCCGGCGGATGTGGATCCAGATCGGGAGAGGATCCGGTTGCGTAGCGTCTTCGCTGCGACGGTCAAGGACTGCGTCGACGACGGCATCGCTGTGGTGTGGGGTGACTTTGGGTTTGTTGTATGTGTGAGGGAAAGAGACGAAAGCTGAAAAAACCTACGAATTGGTTTATTCAATCGAGACCTGAACCGGGAATTAATCAGATCGGTTTATTGTTTGGTTTAGATTGAATTTGGATCTCTTTGTTATGGTATTGTATTTCCTCAAAATGTTGAAGTGCAATTTTTTTTAATGGTAAGAAAAAAAAACCATAAAAATAATATATACAGTGGAACTTTTTTAAATTAATAATATTGAGACTACACCAAAACTATATTTTTTTATTAATTTATATACAAATTTATCGATATACTAGTTAAATTAGAAAAATTTGAGATTACAAAATTATATTATTGTATAGAAATTTTTATTTTTTTGTCACTGAGGAAGATCTGATGATAAAACGTAGTAAGAGAGAGATTCATCTTCTGATGATGCTGACAAATTCATAGCAGGGTAAAGCCAGATGTTATTTGTTTCTATAAGACATTCCAAGACGTAAATGAATAAGGAAACTATGATTCCAATCATTTCAATATGTTCTTACATTAAAAACTTCTCTCCAATATGATCATTACATTTCTGATAAATAATACATTCGAGTACTGTAAGCTATACATGCATATAGCGAAGTACAGTTTCTATGCTGTTTAGGCATGACATTCTACTTTATCTCTCACTAATCAGAGATTAGTCAATCTTTAACATTAAATAATCTTCTTGCGCATTCCCATCCGTGATCTCGCATATCTGATATTGCTTGTTAAGTTGAACCTTAGGATAGCAGTAATGTCACACAAGAAAGGAAACAAAGGCATAAACATAGGTATATAATTAGTGAAGGATACTGGAGCCTCAAACCCTCACCAGTGAGGGATGAGTAAAGCACTGTTCCTTGAAGAGCATGTAGTGCTTCACTTGAGCAGCTTACATCCTGCAAAAGCCACATGTTAATTCAGTTTTCAAAAAAAAGAGTTGGATCTCTTGAAAGAGCTGTACCTGGAAATCAACAAATGCAACAGGAGTCCCATATGTGCCCTGAATCTTCAGCTTCAAGAATCCACGGCATCTACACAGGAAAGCTGAAGGTGAAAACTAATACATTCTTAGTGGTTTTACAGTCCTGTGTGCAGGAGAGAGTATTCTTACCTCGAAAAAACGTGGACTAGCTCAGACTCGGTGCAGTTTGGTCCTAAATTTGCTATGAAAAGTGTTGGACAAGGTTCTGCAGCATTATTCTGTCAAACGAGTAAAGATTGTCATTGCCACTTGTAATAGATATTTAACCTCACGGAAGTGTAAAGTATGCAGAAGCATACCGATTTTGCAGTAGATTTTGCCCTCCCAGCAACATTAGCAATTCCTTGACTGAATGAGCAAAAAAATGTTGAATATAATTAGACACATAAAGAACAAGCTCTCGAAATCCAGGGACCATTGCAGCAAAGCCTTAAGTTGCTTACACATTCGAGACATAATACAGTAAAAGTGTGTGCAACAAAGAAACATGATCTAAGCATAGCCAAGTAACAAGAAAATGTGCTCTCAAGTAGTGCATATGACCTTTGTGCAGGTGAATAACCAATAGTGTTGTGCGAAGAACTACTCATTCCAGGTGTGTGAAAGCTGCCAAAACCTGCTGAGTGCCGAAACGTGCAAGAATGTGCAAGTGTGAGATTTTAAGAAACGTGAACTTAAAACCCTAAGTGTGTAATCTTAAACCAAGTAGAACATGCAAAACTGTGTACTATACATATATATTCAGATACATCATACATGAAACATAAACACGACCAAAAGATGAAGGTTTGAACCAGTGATCTTACCAGACTCAGGAGTATTGCTCCAAGACTTGGTCTTTTTCACGCTTTCCCTGCCATCATCTACCAAATCACAGAACAATAACTAACACAAAAGCAAAATCAATGTAAAGAAGCAGAAAAAAAAATCATTATACTTGCCTGTCCTTGAACGCTTAGATTTGGGATTTGATTTAGCAAGATCAATGTAAAGAGTAGAATGCTTCTCAAGATCAAACACCATTCCCTGAAAAAAAAAACCAAAATAATTCAAAACAAAGATACCTTAATAGTACTCTTCATATATATAAAGTAACAAACTGTAATCACACCGAGAGCAACAAAGATAGATTTAATGCTCTTATGTAAATAAAGTCACAAACTTTAATCACATTTAGAGCAACAAAGATAAGCTTTAACGCTATTCGTATATAAAATCACAAACTTTAATCACATTGAGAGCAACAAAGATAAGCTTTAACGCTCTTACTATATAAAGGCACAAACTTTACTCACATTGAGAGCATGCATCACCGCTAAAGCTGATTGAAGATCCGAAAACACAGCAAACGCAAACGGCTAAACAAAATCAAAAAGTAAGAGTCCACTTCGCTATCTATTCACTAATCTACAAGGAGAGTGATCAAAAGGGTTACTTTAGCTCCATCAGAGGTTCTGAGATGCGAAGTTTCGTATCCTGGGAACTCACGGAAGAGATTATAGATCTCTCGGGGATTGACGTCTTCGGGAAGTCCGGCGACGAAAAGCGTCCGGACATCTCCGATTGAGGTGGGTAAGTAGACGGGATGGATTGGAGTGATTGGAATCGGAGGAGGAAGGATCGAGGGGATGTTGTAGTGAGAGTAGTAAGCTGACAAATCATCCATTGCCGATTTGCCGATGACTTTGCCCCGTTACGGGCAGAAACTCGAGACGCGGTTCTTTTTATTTTTTACATCGGCGGAAAACAACACATTTTGGCTAATGGGCTGGAAGGAGAGCCCATCAATATATAAGGCTTTTATGTTTCTGATCGATATTTTCATCTGTACATTGGCATTCTCGATCTAAAGAAAATTCGAATCCGTATTCGATCTCAGTTTTAAACTATAAAAACATCCAAACAGGTTTTGTAGACACTGTTTTAGTATTATCCTAATCTGATCAAATCCTAAATAATCAAATTAAATATTTAGTTTGATTCTAGAGTAAAAATATGATTCTTTTATTATTAACGGAATTTTAGAGATATACAATAACTCTTACCAAGAGTTAAGATATCTAGATGAACCCGAAAGGCAAAAACAAATTCAAATATATATACAACTCAAATAAATGCTAAAGAATAAATGTGAAAAATCAGATAATTCAAATCCACAATGGATCTTCAACAATTCACCTAAAGTTTTATCAAATTGTTCATATTGAATTGACATCCGAGATATATTTGGCAGCTTCTATGGGTATGGAAGAAAATAAAACATATCAATCACAAATTTCATTTTCTTGGCATACGTGAAGATATCATTTTTTCTTTTGATCAATGTATGTTTTTCTTACTGTTTTTTTTTTGTTTGCCTTTGGCTTATTTCAAAGTCATCAAATAGTCCTAATGATGATGAGACAAGCACTTCACGTGTTGTGGAAATTACGTCAAGATTGGGAGAAAGAACTCCAAAGATGAATATTTTGATTGCATAAGTGTACACAAATTGGACAAAGATGATTTTCAGTTCAGTTATATTGCTTGTTGTATAGGATGGAAAAACAGAAGAACTATTTTCAAAAACATATGCCCTTAAAATATACAAGGATAATGTAAACTATTAGCCTCATTCACTTGATAAGCTTACGGATTCTAATCCATTTCAATAGGTATTTTTGTTCCATTTAATAATAGTTTAGCTCTAGATCTTGTTGAACTTGGATTATTTTCACTTAGAATCAAGACATTGATGTTATTAGAATCAAAACTGGAGATCGACGGGAGATTGTAGTGAGAGTAGTAAGCCGGCAAAAACTGGAGACAAAGCTTCCTTTACATGAATAAAATAGTATTGGTAAGTGTTGTTGACCGGGAAGGCTTATTACTATATGAGTTATTAAACTTTAAATTGTAATTAGGCTCATCGAGCCCATGATGAGCTGGCAGCTCCAGAGTTCAAAAAAGCAATTAGCTTTCTTTATATACAAGAATCAAAAGCTTCCGAGTCCCGCCTAAGAAAGAAAGACGACGAGAGAGAAGAAAAAGAAAGAAACCAAGGAAGACGAGAGAGAGAAGAAGACGAAGAAGAAACCAAGGTACGTGATGTGAGATTCCGATTAAGTTTTGTTCCCGCTCAAGCAAGGAAGACTAAGATTCTCATTATCTCATTGCAGAATCTGCATTTGGAGCCGATCGAGACTTCTCCGACGATGTCGCTCGAATCTGATCGCGAGGTAAGAAAAGTTCTTCCTCATATGGTTTCGATCTTGAATAGAAAAAAAAATCTAGGTTTCAGTATTGTGATAGTATCTGATAGGTTTGATGCAGGGCCGGCCCTAAAAAATAGGGGGCCAAAGGCAATTTTTAAACAGTTTCACCTAAAAAATTTTTTTTTATATATTTGGGGGCCTAAAAATTTTTTTTGGAGGCCTATGTACATGTAATTTTTTTCAAAAAATTTGGGGGCCCAAGGCGAATGTTTCATCCGGCTTGGCTCAGGACCGGACTACTTTGATGTTAAGTAATATGTTAGATGTTGTTTTGGTTGGATCGATGTGGATGTTGAGAGTTCTTCTCATATGCTTCTCTTGGAAGACTCTGTTCGTATTAACCTAATTATTAACCTATAATCACATTGTTTTACTGTGTAAACAATGCGTTCTTCTTGGATAATTGAAAAGTTGTTCTCGTATGCTTCTCTTGGAAGACTCTGTTCAGTGTTAACCTATAATTTGGCTAGTAAAAGACAAGTCCTTTGAGAGGAAATATCTTGAAAGGACTTGACACTTGAGGTTTGCTTTAAACCAAAACCGAGTTCTTGCTGCTGAGTGAGATCACAGAATGGCATGAAGCTCTATATGATTGTCCATTCTAGATCCTTGTGTTGCCGTATGATGTGAGGCTCTTTTCAATCTAATTACTTGATGTGAATGTGTAGGTTACACAGCAACATGTTCCCGAGGAAGAACGTACAAGACCATCCGAATGTGTTCTACCACAAGAAACAACTCATGGAAGCTCAAGCTCAAATCTTGATTTACAAATGACGCATATGGAGAACCGCCTAGGTTCTGTCGAGTTGTTGGACAAGGATAAGCCCTCTGATGATGAGGAGAGAGCAAAGGATATGGTTGCAGAAATCGTCAAGGAGTTAGAATGTGATTTGAAATCTCTCTCCAACCAGAAAAACGAAGTCTTCATACAAAGCCTCAGAAGCTGTGTCTCACAGTATTATACACTTGAAGAAATGAAGAGACAGATGTGTGCTACAGTGGAACAATACTTTACAACTATCTTTCTGGATGATGTGGTTGCGCGTGAGTTGTATTTGTTCAGCTCTCACACTTTGGAAACGAGTAGAAGGGCAACAGAGAAAGCAATTTCCGTAGCAGAGGAATCAGTTGCCGTCGCTGTCAAGTCTCTAGAGTCCAAATCCCTTATCGACCAGACAATCAGAGACGGGATGCAGAGCATGATAACTTGCCTCTCTAACTTCTACACATTGGAAAAGATGCTGGAATATATTACTTCTACCAGGGGCCTAACATCCCGACAGGCGGAACGACTTTTTAACCATCACATTGGTAAAACTGAGGGGACACGTCAGGCTTATTTGGAAATTGCTAGTGAAAGCATCATGCAGAAGAAGAAGCGGCACAACCTCTAGCTTCATTTGTCCAGCCTCAAGCAGATTCCATGGTAAAGAACATGATTCCAGGAGTTGTCAAACATTCCAAAGTTGAGCTTGAAAAAGGGGACCATGACAGAGCCACGATGTCTGCTGGCGTTCATGACATAGAAAAACACGCAGGTTCAAATGTCTAACCTCAAGATTCCTGCTGAGTAAAAATGTCCTTTTTTATACTCTTGTTCTTACTTGTTTTTTTTTTTGGCTTATTTTCATGTGCACAGCTGCTGTACTGGTGAAAAACGATCGTCTGGTTGCAGAAACCATTAGGGGTTTAGAATGTGATATGAAATATCTCGCCAACAGTAAAACGCTAGTAATAATTGAAAGCGTTAAAAGCTGTCTCTCACAGTTTTATACACTTGAGGAAATGAAGAGAGAGATGTCTGCTACAGTGGAAAAGTACTATACAACTCTGTTTGTGAATGATGAGTTTGTAGATACATCATATCTGGTATGCGCTCTACGCATGGAAACAGCTAGAAGACAAGCAGAAGAAGAAGCAGCTTTTAAACTCCTCCAGCCGCAAGTTCAACTTTCTCAAGGTAATAAATCTTATCTTTTTCCTCATGCTTACATGCTTTTTTATTGAATTTACATATTGCAGATGAGGAAGAAGCTATGGCAAAATAATTCGTTTCATCTCTTGTCAATGATTTGGAAGGAGGTTCAGTTGGTAAAGGGAAAAAAGTTAAACACATGATCGCATGCATGGTTGAATGTGTCTCTTCTTACTATACACTAGAAGAGATGATCACTTACATGGGCTCAAAGACCAAAATGAATGCATCAGCCGTGGAACGTTTCTACAGATCTATGCTAGTTGAAAAACATGAGGTGGCACATGGAGCTTACTTGGCTGTATCCAAACGCTGGGAGTCAATGAGATTACAAGAACACCAACGTAAACTAAAATCTCTTTTTTATTATTATTTTTCTTCTGTTCTTTATCATATCATTTGTTTAATTTGATCTTTCAGGATTGTCGGCGAGTACAAGTGATGCTAGACCTTTTAGCAGACGCCAAAAAGCCTCAAAGAAAAAGAATCTTCGGAATTGATGATCGGAGTTTGGTTCTGGCTAAATGCACTTGTTGTAATGTTTTTTTTTTCTTTTTGATAAAACTTGTCGTAATGTTGTTGGTGTCATTTTTAGATGTTATGCCTGAATAATATGAGTTTTTAGATGTTTAGATGTTATGTCCATTCTACATTGATATTATTGACAATATCAGGTTGTCATTTTCAGTTGACTTCAGGTGTGAATGCAAAATATTTAGATCAGTCTGTTGTGAGTAATTAATTACTAAGAACACCTCCAATGGTGTTACACCATTGGAGTCTTTAGGATTATAATATTTTTTTATTTTTTTTAATAGTTAAGGACTTTAAATTCAAATCTTCCTCCAATGGTATTATCGATTATGGAATCCTTAAGTTTTTTTTTCTTGAATCTAAAAAATTATTAAATATAGAAAATATTTAAGCAAGAGAAACATCAAATGCAACTTAAAAAATCATCCTAAACAAAGTACTTAAAACACATCATTCAAATTTGACAAAGCTTAAGTGATTAGAATTCTTGAATCACACACCTCATGGTTATAAGACAGAGTACCTTGATTAGTAATGTCATTAATCTCCAGCTCAGCTTCATAGCGTTGTTGAGCGCCTGCATAGCCTTGTACCATAGCAGCAATATGTAATATCCCGGTTTGTGATATTTGAAAAAGGCTTAAGAGAATTAATTTGACTATCTATGTCACCAAAGTGCACTTATCTTTTCGAGAGCACATCCAGAGAGAACTCCAGAGTTAAGCGTGCTTGAGCTGGAGTAGTCTAAGGATGGGTGACCTATTGGGAAGTGAGTTGCGATACCGTGTAAGTGAGGCCAAAGCACGGGGAAAGGTCGGGTGGTGATTGCAGAGTCAGTAAACATGACTCTAAAGCCTTGAAAAATTAACGGACCGGCCGTTGGAACGGGATGGGGGCCACGGGCCGAGAGAACGGGCGTGGGTGGCCCATTAGCCGTGGGCGGTCGGGCGTTACACAATAGTCTTTCTTACTGCAACAACATTCTCATCTTCCAACTCACATTTAAGAGAGAAGCAAACAAAACCGATGCACGGTTGTGATGATTCCTTAAATAAACATAAGAGATACACTCAGATAAAATGATCCGTCAGGTTTACCAAACCAATATCTTTATCTGCAATGAAGCAATAGGACTTTTACTTTAAGATTACATCAGCAGGGAATATGAAACCAATGCAGACAGAAGTTGTAGCTCCAATGAGTTGGAAAGCATCCCAGATGCTTGGAATGAAGTTTGCACCAACAAAGATTAGAGCAATGAGAACCGCAGTGATGGAGGCAAACCTCAGATTAGAGGTAGTAAGTGATGGAGCTGTAGAGAACAAGAGACCGTCAAAACCAGAACAAAGTGAATCTAAAGTCCATGGCTTTATCACACTATAAGACATTATTATTTACCTTGTAGTAGCTCCATTAGGAGGATTGTTCTCAAGAACTCCAGCTGCCATCCTAAGGCGGCAGAGGTCCAAACCACAAGCCTCCGCCTTCCAGATTGAGTTTCATCATCTCCAGCTGCCAGCCTCCGTCCTCTGATTCAACCAAACGTTGCTGCTGCTTCACCAACTTCGTCTCTTTCGGCACCTGATTAAAATCAAGAAAACTGCAGAACCATTATGACACAGAGAGAAGACACACAGTTTTGAATGTGTTTTGCAGAACAAGCAAGTGAGTTTACATCAACAAGTTTTGGACTCAACTTAAAGAATGAATCCAAGACACAAAAGCTAACTTGAGCAACACTAGAGAAACTAATATCATAAGCAACCATAAGTCAGTTTGCAAGGGATTCAGACACAAACACCTAACCAGATCAACGTACATTGGTCGGAATCAATGAAGTAGAATATCTGTACACAAACAACAAAACAAGGTCAATGATCCATACATCGATACAATAAAAATCATGTTTGATGCTTTTATCTCAGGATTTGTTTTAAGATCATCAAATGGTGAGAGAGGTTACCCAAACCAATGTATTACCGCTTAAGACATCAACTGCAGGTAAGATCCCCCTGTTACATGAAGACAAACCGATTTACCGAGTAAATTTTCAAGAACACTAGCTGACAAACTGCTTATATTTTGGAGTTTGCAATAAATATTAGGAACAAAGAACCACCGCAGGTGGAGCCACCGCAGCAAAGACACATAAAGCAATGTGGAGCTGCAGCAAGAACAAGGGTTTCAAATTTTGTTTTACCCATAATAAAATTTAAAATAACATCATTTTAGCTAATAATCGTCGCTCACCATATAGAGTTGCAAAGCTCTGAGCTCACTACTCCGAATCAGGTCTTGATTCGCGTCACAGACTTCCGCAGTTGTAATAAACGCCATCTTCTTCCTTTGATTAAAAGGTTTAGACTTTGAGAGTGAATCAATCAAAACAAATCTGGTGAGGAGGAGGTTGAGGAGGTTGTGCGGTTGATGAGGAATCAGAGGAGGGTGGTGGAGGAGGAGGTTTGCACACAGCCGTCGCCTTTTCCCCTTTCATATCGCCTTTGTCTCTCTCGAGATTTTTTTTTATTTCCATCGCGACAATGAATTTTTTTTTCTTCTCACATTCAAACCCAATCCGCCTGCCATGTCAGCAAGGATCAACCTCTTAAATCCTTGAATAAGGATTAATCCTTAACTTGCTGAATTAACATATTATTTTTTTATTCGATTTTCATATTATTTTTTTATTCGATTTTGTCTAGGTTTCACCGCTAAGGATTCGTGTTCAACCATGTCACTGGTAAGTTTTTCTTTTTACTATAAGGTTTTCAGATAAGAACAAAACCAAAAGACATAACTTTTATTTAGACCAGACACAAGGAACAAAGACAGATCACAAGTTTTGTGTGCAATTTGTAAACGCATCACATCCAACAAAAGCAGAAGAAAACATGCAAAATACCAAAACATAATAATGTTTAGTCAAGGTTGAGAGAGACAGTATCAGCAGCTGTCTCTAGCCTTCAAAATTTGTGTTACGCATTCAATTGCGAGAGTGATCCCGCTGGCACTAACAAGCACCACGTTCTCCTCAAACATAGTACTGATGTGATGCCTGTTCCTGAGTTCAGTCACAATGTCAATAGAGTTCAACTGATCTGCATTCTCGGCCAGAGTGTACGGGATAGCCTCAAGGGCTTCAGCGAAAGACTTGACACATTTGCTTTCCATCCCATGAAGAACCTCCTTCGCCCACGCACTAAGCTGTCTTGAAAGCTCAAGCACTGGAGCACCAGCTCCTGCATTCAACAAGCTCTTGTCAAAGTGCTTCTTAACATCTTTATATTATATGATCATGCAAATCCAGGACTGAATCTACGTACGTACAGCTAAACTAAGGAGCAAGTAATCCTAATATCCATATTAATTAATTACCGTAAGTACGCATTTGACGAGAGAATCTGGGTCAAGATCTCAACGGCCTTAGCAGCAGTCTTGTTAAGCGCATCTGAAATTACACTAGCGTCAATCCCGCTAATGAGAAGCATGAGGCACTGCTTGACAAGTGCACCGCCGATAGTGACCAGCGTCCTTGTCCCACCTGTAGCTTCCGAATCCTGGTCTATTAAAAGCCCGAACAGACACTTTGCCGCTGGCTGCAGCGAACCATCCATCTCCCTTGCTTCGTCGATAGTTTTGGCCATGTTCTCTTGGCTAGCCGTCCAAATCATCTCGTCCTTTGACGCCATGCTTAAGTTATAAAAACCCTAATGCATGGAGTGGACAGAGAGAGACGCAAACCATATTGGGCTTTTTTGGGCTCATTATTAGTGAAAACGTTAACTAATTTATTTTTCTGGTTTTTGGAAATTTAACTCCCTACGATTTGGTTTAGAGAATCAATCTCTAATAAGAACTTGACAAACTTATCAGAAGATTTGAAGGAGTCATGAAGCAAAAGAAGGGCTGGTTTCAAGGTTAAAAGTTTTTCACTATAATCGTTTACTGATACAACCTGGGTGATTGGTTCTTGTTATAACAACGCCGGTTTACTGATTAAACCGGTTAGTCTCTTGTTTAAATCCCTTGCAAAGTTGCACCTACGTGGAAACTCCAATTGCCTGGTGAGAACTTTGCTTTTGTAAATTGGTCAGCTCGTTCTACCTCACATATGTTGGCTTATGACAAATGACACGTTGTATGCAAGTGTATACGTGTCGGAAAACTACTATTCGCTACAAATAGATCAACCACTCGGTGGTGTTGACGACTTCAAGGACAATTGATAATGGAGAAAGATCATAAGAAAGAGAGCGATATGTACGAGCAACGTCAACACCAGCCACCATATGTGTCGCAGATGCAGCCAGTGACACACGAAGCTTACGGAGGCGGACTTTACGGTATGGACGACGAGGAGAAAGATAAAGATGCCAAGACTATAAAGAGAGATGCAAAAGATATGGAGAAAGATACTCGGCAGTATCACCGACCAGCGAGTGAGACACAGAGCGCAGAAGGGCCTGATGAGGCAAATACGACGAAGCCAAAACACAAGCCACCACCTTCTTCAGGTGATCGAGACATTGACATCACTGGCCAGTCATACATTCAATGATGACTAATGAATCATGAAACAAGTTTTATTATACGTCACTTTTTTCTGTGTTTTTGTAATGATCTTTGTTGTTTATTTGTTTCATGGTGTTTTATTAGTGCTAGTAAGTTGTAAAAGACACCTATCACCTATAGGCTATATATGTATCATATGATAAACGAAATAAACATAGAAACACTTAGAATTCAGACACAGATTCTTGAATTTGTGCCTTAAAAAGGCATCCATTCATCCAGATCGTCATGATCAATCTACCAAGGTACACAAAACCAAACAACAATCTTCTTCTCCTCTCTCTTTTTTGATCTTTATAGTTTTCTTTTTTTTTGTCTTTTGTACCAGTTCTTCAATATATTAACATGCTAAAGCCGAAGCAAGTTCAAGCTCTCCACTGTGGCTTATCAATATTTAGTCCAAATGCTAAAAAAATTCTTAAACAAACATGAGGGTGAATTAATAATTTAGAGCTGTATATGTTTTCATCATTAGAGATATCTCATAGCAAAAACATGTTTACAAGTTGTCATGAACAAAACAAAAAAAAACAGAGGTTTCTGTGTCTTAACCGGTTACTTCGGTCAAGACTATTAAACCAATTTTCTAGCTCATGTTAACCAAAATTTGGATAACAAAACCGTATTCTCTACTTCTCCGACAAATCAGAGGATCTCTCTCCTCAAAAATCATCGATTCCCCAGCAAGGGAGAACAATCCTTGACGCCGTGTGCGTATAATGCTAAAGGCGGTCCAGATCCTGAACTGGTCATCAGGGTTAACCATCATCACACAAAGACTAACCAAAACCCGTAACTCCTCTTCTCTCAAGCTCTCAACTTTCTCCTCCCCTCCTCGTAGAATCCTCCCCTTAAACCCGACCCGAATGTCTTCCTCCCAACCCGGATCAGACCCACTTCCCAAGTCTCCGGCTTTCGTCTCTGTTCAGTCATCCGTGAGTCTCTTCTTGAGAAAGATCTTGTCTTTAAGTGTCTCTTCGTCAATGGTTTGAATGTTGTTTTCAGGGAGCTGTTCGTAAGATTAAGTTCTGTCAATTGTGTGGAGGGACAACGAAGCATGAGATACCTGACGGAGAAGAGAAGCTTCGAGCTATTTGCACACATTGTGGAAGAATCGCTTACCAGAATCCTAAGATGGTTATTATTTTTTGATTTATAACGAATTGTCTTTCATGTTTTGTTTTAATTAGGGAAGGTTGTTTATGTGTAGGTTGTAGGTTGTCTTATTGAGCATGAAGGAAAGGTTTTACTTTGCAAACGTAACATTCAACCTTCGCACGGTCTATGGTAAGTAAGTCCATGTACAAAGTTCTTAGTGTTGTTTGTTTACATAAGTTAAAAAGATTGGTTCTTTTTTGAGTGTACAGGACTCTACCTGCTGGTTATCTAGAGGTTGGAGAGTCAGCTGCGGAAGGAGCAATGAGGGAGACTTGGGAAGAGGCTGGAGCTACTGTGGAAGTTATTTCACCTTTTGCTCAACTTGATATTCCTCTTATTGGCCAAGTAAATTAATTGCAAAACATCCCTAGTGTTAACCTTCTATTCCCTGTTCATATCATTTTTACTTATAATGGGTGGTTGTTGTTTGGAGTAGACTTATGTTATCTTCTTGGCGAGACTGAAGAATCTTGATTTTGCGCCTGGTCCTGAGTCAATAGAGTGTCGTCTTTTCGGACTAGAGGAGATACCGTTTGATTCTCTGGCTTTTTCATCTATATATGTTACCTTAAACTTGGTAAGTATATGGATATAAAACAGTTGCATACTTTCTAGTCTCCGTTAACTAGATTTCTTAAGCATCAGGTTTGGTTTTGGTTGTTGGCAGTACTTGGAAGATCTTAAAAAGGGGAAAGTAAAGTTCCACTATGGTACTATTAATAAAAGGTGCGTTCCAAATTATGCCCCCTTGTGTGTGTAGAGTGATTACTTGAGAGATGTTAGTTTATGTGCTGTGTTCATTCTCAGGCCTGGAAGTAGTCCTTCGGATATTCGTGCCTTTACTCTTGATTACCATTTGCAGCCATGAATCGAGGTTGTACAATCTAATCCTATCTATATATATGTTCTCGGTCTGGTAGGATGATGAATCTTTTTGGAAGAATAGTCCTCTTAATGATTTCAGCTCATGGAGACTTTGTCTATTTGATTGAGCTAATGTGAGAGCGTTTCTCCACAGGTTACAGGAGCAGACTCCTTGTGAAGTTGACCGTGTGAGCGACTCCTTGGACAGATGAGAAAAGAAAAGACAGAAGATAGTTGTTTCCTTTGTAGATGTTATGCCTGAACAAAGTGTTTCTGTTTATGGTTTCAGTTTGTAAAAGGATATCTTTAGATGTGAATGCAAAATATTTGATCAATTTTTGTGTTAATTAGTCACCATGTTCTGTTACTATAAGGTTTTCAGATAAAGAACAAGAGACCAAACAATGAAACTTTTATTCAGACCATAGAACACTTCAAGAACACAGAACAATGACAATCCCAAGTTTTTCAGCAATTGTAAATGCATCACATCAAATAAACTGAAAAGGACAACACAGCAATACAACAAAGACACTTCAAACGAAAGAACTGAGATTGAAGGAGCCCATCATGTTTGCAAGAGCAGAACTCATATCCAGCTGAAGCTGAAGCTTCTGAAGTTCAAGCTGCTGCCTCAAAGCTGGATCTTCCACTTGCTCTGCTGTTGCAGCTGGTTGCTGCATCTGCTGCTCTGTCTCCAAACCCTGAGCAGGAGCAGATTCAGCGCTCACTGTCTTTCCTTCATCACTTGTTGTCACACACTTCGCAATAGCAGAAGAAGCAGCAGCCACTGGTTTGGGCTTATTCACAGCGCATGAAGCATGAACATGATAGTTACAAGCATAACAGTTATAAGACCAGTACCTACCATCCATCCCCACGTTACATATATTGCAAACAAGCTGATTCACGTAACCAAACTGAGTAAACGACACAGCAGGAGTACTGTTGTAAGCAAGAAGAAGACTATGGAGAGGATGAGAGTCATGAACCAAAACCTGAGGCAGCTGAGCGCACTGAACATGGAGGTCAAAGTCACACAAAGGACAACAGTAAGAGAACCCTTTGCCTCCAGTGCAGCCACAGGCTCTGCAGGTGAAGGTGCCAGCGCAGTAAGTGGTGTAAGGGACTAGAGTCAAGTGGTGGAGACCCGAGTGGGAAGGGTGTTGGATCCCACGCAATGCGTTTCCACATTGCTCATGGAGATTGAAGTCACATGTTGAACAGATGTATGCGGTTGCAGATTCAGAGATGGCTGATTCACAGCCTGAGCAGATTGGTGGAGAATCTGAGGGTTTTGTTGTTTGAAGCGGTTGGATTTTTAGATTGTGTGGATGGCTGAAATGTTTGTACTCCATTGATCACTACTTTGCAAATCTTTGTGTGTAGTTGGACTTTGGATCATGGTGCTTATAAGGTTTCTCTGACTTTGAATTGTTCCAAGTCTGAGTTGTTTTGAGTGGTTGATTAGTTTTTCTTAATGTGCAATTTGGTGGGATATTAGTAGTTTTTCTCTTTGGATAATGAAAATTACAGAAAGTTCGGAGGAAGCGGCGTTGACTTTTAGAATGTCAACTACTGGAGGTTTTGACCAAGGAAGTCACCGTATCTCTGTTTTGTTTATTACAACGTTATTCTCTTTTAATTTCTCCATGTTTAATTATTAGGTCTCTAATCATTAGATTCCTATCAACCGCTAATTACAACTAAATAACGAAATGCAACAACAGGCATTTAATTTTGAAATTTGATCAACTGATGTTTTTGTTTGTAAACCTATTCCAATTAATTTTTGTGCTTTCAGTCATAAAATCATGTATTATGAAACAAATGAAGTATAATTTAAAGAAAGAAGAGAGGAAGACAGTCTAAATTAAAATTCTCTCTGTTTCAAAATGATCTATATTCTAGGGAAAAAAATTTGTTTCAAAAAAAATAATTTTTCACGTTTTCAATATATGTAATAATGATAAATAATAATTTTTTTGAAAACATTAATTATATTTATTGAATTTTGATTGACTACCATTTATAAGAAATAGTTAAACAAGGAAAATACATTTATAATTAAATTTTAAAATATTTTTAATATAAGTAATCATTCGAAAACATGTATTATATTGAAAACGGAGGAAGTAATATTGATAATGGTCGTGGTGATTAGAAGTTTGTCTAAACTTTTACTATTGGCATGTTGCTGAAAAAAGGTTTGATATTGTTGGAACAGACAGGTGAATTCATTATGTTACACACAGGTGATATGGGGGAAATTTACTGAAGTAACAAACTCTATCTTGTTTTGTCGAGAACGCTTTCTTCCTATATCCAATTGCGGGTATTTATGTCTTCAGCTGAAATAGTATAAATTTTATATAGTACCAAAGCCCTACCTAATTAAACTACGTTATCAATCCCCACCATACATCATAATATAAACAAACAAATCACTATACACCAAACTAGAGAGTTTATACCCACTTTCTAGCCCCATGTATACGTGGATATTATTTTTTAGTCTTTATAAAAATATATTTTTTCTATGATAATATATATCGAAAATTTATCTGTGTTTAATAATTATTTAATATGATATTTATAATCATAATAATTTTATTGTTTATATTGATGAAGTTTTTGTCTTCTGAACCGTCAATTGTATTATCGTTAGCTTTTGAATATGATCCGTGCAATATGTAATTTAATAAAATTATTCTATAAATACTTTGTTTATATATTGATGCTATTAATGTTTATAGTGTTGATATGTAATATGTAAGTTAAAAAAATATAATGTTTTATTGTGAATTCAGTTTGGGAAATATTTTATTAAATTTTGAAAAAGACATAGAAGACATAGAATTAAGAGTAATTATTATTTTATTAATTTTGAAAATGATAAAAAAATTACTTAAATATAGGTTCATTTAATTACTTCAATGAAATTGAGTTGTAAATAAGTTGTATCTTGTATGTTTAAGTGGTAATTTTTATTGGTATTTTTATAGATAATTTCTTTATTGTGTGTTGTGTTGAAACCTATGAAATAGGAAATGTTGGGATTTTGCAGTTGTTCAAATTCTGTATTTAATGTTTTTTTGGTTGTGTTTCGAATAATATACAGTTGTTTGTTACCTAATTTAAGGGAACAGAAAAATTTATTTACGAAGTGTAACATGTGTTTTGTGGTTATAATAAAGATTCATAATTAATTGTACATATGAAAGTCGTAAAACTACCTTAAGTTGGTTAATAACAGTTGATTTTTTTTGTGACTGAAATAAGTTCGAATGTTATGAAGAATGATTGTTAGATTATATTATTTTATTTTATGAGTTGCATTATTTTTAAATGTGAGGATGAATATAATATAACTTATTGTGGTGTCGATGAAAGACATTACTTTCTTTGCAGTTAAAATTTTATTTAGTAACGTATAATAATTATAGATGAAATGGCATGTAGGTGAGGAAAGTTATATGACGTACATTATTGTTTAGAAAATCTTTATGACTTACCCTATTATTAAGGAAATCATAATTATTTTAGGAAATTGATTTAATACTTGGAAAAGACAAAGATTATTTAAAATAATTTATTAATTACTTCAGTGGTATAAAACTGTAAATAAAGTGTAAATCTAAGGGATAATTCTTATGAGTACTTCTTTTTTAATAATATAGACTAGGATTAGACTCGCGCCTTGCGCGGAATGAGATAATTAAATTTGTTGTATTTTTTGAAGATAAGAAGACATTATATATGTTTTATTTGCATATTAGTTTGTTTTGGATTGGTTGTTTCGGGTTTTAATATCGTCCAATTATATATTTATATTATAAATATTGTCTTTTTGGTTAAATTGCGATTTTGTCTCATATATCTGTTTTTTTTGTCATCCACATGACATGGAAACACGTAAGATGAAAGTATATTGCTGTCAATACCATTAAGAGTATTGAGACAATCCCAAATCTCCTTTTAGTCTCGAGATGGGTTGTGAAAAGGCTCATTCCGAGAAGCAAATTCTCGACTTGTATAACGAAATCTCCAATCTCAAGATCCCTTAAACCTTTCACATATATATGTCGACAATTTTTTCAATAGCTCATGTCCACGTCCTTGCCTATGGATACAAAAATCGACGTTAAAAATTTGTGCCCAAAAGTCCAAAACTACAGAACCAATCTCACCACCCTACGTAGTGAAGATATAGAGTTTTCAGAGCACCATTACTATACGGCCTTGGGATCTCTCGAAGACAACATATTTCACCATTTAGATCTATCCTCAGTACACTAACTACCTCAAACTTAGCAAGGTTGAGTTCAATCTCTTCACGCTACACACGAGCCATGTCCAAACCAAGATCGCGTTCATGGGCTCCGGTACGTTGCCCTTCACATCCATCATCTTAGATACGTCCCACCGCTCTAATAACGACGTTCCAGAACTTTGACATTGACCATCAAGCCAATTCACTTGCCTCCGAACTTGTCTCATGCGATATTGAACTTTGTAGTTTTAAAGTATTTCGTGTGTTTTATAATTGAAGTAAATAAGGTAAACAATTGTTGAAGTAAATAAGGTAATATATTGTGAGAATGTAGTAAATAAGGTAATAAATTGTGAGAAGGTAGTAAATAAGATAATAAATTGTGAGAAGGTAGTAAATAAGGTAATAAATTGTGAGAATGTGGTGTGAAAACATTTAATGCAAAATGCTTCTCTTTTAATATATAAGGGATTATGGTTGAAATTGAAAAGAAAAAGAAATGGTACACGTGATTTTACTAAATAAGTAGAAACACCAATGAACTATTAGTATTATTTACACCAACTAAACTCTAGAAAAAGTTATTTAAAATACCATTTTAAGTTTTATATATTTATCAGTCATATTCAACTACTCTAATCCATTTATGCATCTAAAACTCATCTGTGAAACCCTTTACGAAAAGTAAACATCCACCAAATATCTATATGTATGATCAGGAGCAAACGTCAAATCCTCAATCACTCTACAGGCACAACGTTCACACACACACACACAATACATAGAGATATGTCCATTATCATCATGTACATAAACATATACATACAACTCTGCAAATGCTGATCTACAGACTTACTTATCATAATCAGCAAACTCATCAGCACGTGCACTTATCTCATTCTCAGCATCAACCACAACATCAGCAATACCACTACTTGTGCTGGTTTCTCCAAGCAAACTACTCATGGAACGCGCCTTTACCATCCCAAGCTTAGCTTTCTTCTTCTTCACTTCCATCACCACCGCCTTTTTCTCGCCGCCACGACGGCCTGCACTTTTGTTCATGCTCCTTACTCTTCCTTTACCAAGATGATGCTCACAAAGAGAATACCCGTAAAGAGTTTGCTGACAACATCTCCAGCCTCTACCGTTAACGCGGCTGCACCGTGAACCTTCCTCTAAGGCACCGTTCTTTTTGCCTCTCTTCTTCCCTTTTTTACCATTATTAGCTTCTTCTTCTTCTTCCTCATCATCTCCTTGTTCCTCGAAGCTTATAAAGCTTCTTCTCTTCCTCAGAGTAACACCCTTTTCATTCTTCTCGACAACTATTATATATATACACACAAATGGTGAATGGTGGAACCAATAAAAACATAAAGCTAATAAGCTCTCTATGTATACGTACCTTGTGTTGAAGATTCGGATTCTCCTTGGCGATTAACGTTCTTGCTGCGATTGTTTGAACCAAGAAGGGAGATAAATTGACATATTATAAAGATAGATGAAAGCGATCTATGAGTGCAAGAAAAAAGAAGATAATAATAGAGCACACAAGATATAGGGGTCGATATGGGGACCATTAGTATAAGAGCATCCCATGCTAACGTGCACCGTCATGAGGTGTGCATATTAAGAGTATTATTGAGTAGCTCATTATCGCTAACTACTACTCTTGTATTCCCAAATGTTTAAGGTGTGATGAAAAGAATGACGAGAATATAAAACCATGTAAGGAGAAGGTAATGAATTGAAGTATAATTTTTGAAATTATTGATTCAACCTAGATCATTTCATCTGCAAAACATTATTTACATATAACAAAAGCTTTCTAGTACTACAAATATATATTGATCCGAATTCACCCAAAAAAACTTTGTATTATCTAATTAGTAATTACACCCACACACTTATAACAGAGAAGATAATGAATTGTAGAAGAAAAGATTCATAATGTTTATCAAATTCACTTACCTGCCAGATGCATCAGTACTACTCTTCACGTCTACATCATCATCATCATCATCCTAGAAAAACAAAACAAAACGAAGACCAATTAAACATTCCTTCATATAAGATCTGCAAATGAAGAATAATCATTTTCCAGTGAAAACTAAACCAATTATTTCCACACACAAAAAAACCACAAAAAAGGAAGAAATAAATAAAGTACGGTCTTCAGACAACACAAACTGCACCCAAAGAATCTAAGTTATGTTTTCTAGTTAAATCTCAACTTACACTAAAACTCACCAAAGATTTCTTCTCATTCTTCCTATTCACATCTCTTTGGATCAGCCGATCAGTAACCGGCGACGGTGGTGGTGGAAGCTGAAGAAGAGAAGCAAGAGCACCGTCTCTGTCTTGGCCGCAAAAGTATGGAGAGGTGGTGGCCGTAGGTGAGCGGTTAAAGTAGAGATCTGATAGAGGAACAGGTAATAGAGACGAAAGAGGAAGAGGAACTTGTCGTTTCCGGATCCTCATCGTATAGAGAAAGATTCTTGAATTTTTGTTTGCACCAAAGAAGAAGTTGAAATAAATAAGGAACAAAGAGCAATCCTCTTTATTTTTCTTACATGGACTTGGAAATAAAAATAAAAAAGGAGAAGGCTTTGTGGTGTTGTGGTGTTCTTGGTAATGGTTCTTCTCTCTCTCTCACTCACTTTTTAATTGTTGTTGCACCCAAAAAGCAAGTTAGTAGTAATTGAGAGAGGAAGAGTCCACGTTGGAATGACTGAGATTACTATATAAATACTTATGTATATATGCATTTAAGTATATATTTTGGGGGTCGAGAAATAAACTATAACCGGTGAAAAAGGTAATTGATATTTTGGTTAGTTTTTAGAAAAATTCTGATTTGGTGTTATTATTGGTAGCTGACTAGAATATTATACAAATATACAAAATTAAATAATAAGTTAAATAATATTTTATAAGTTTTATTATCAGCAATACACTATTAAACAAAATATATCTTATATTTTAATTATATCTAAAATTATTGAGTTGATTGTAAGTATTTTAGATAAATCTAGCATATGAATTTATTCGTGAAAATGTGAAAGATCTAACAACAATAAATTCATACAGAACGACTATTTACGTTGTTTTGATTCTCAAGAAAAAGGTGAAATCATTTTTTCTTTTAAGAAAACATATATCAAACTAGGTATTTAGCCATCTGAATTTAATTTTGTTAGCAGTGACTATTTACCTTGTTTGAGTTTCCATATAAAGAGATGAAACGAATTTTTTTTTACCAAAAAAAACATAATCTCCACTCTAAAACTTTAAAAATTCAAATAATCGAGTCTAAACAGGTATACGAACATCATCATTAAATTATTAATCTCGGATTCAACTCGTAGTACATAAATAATGTATATCATGCAAAATCATCCCAGCTACCCAAAAAGATTGTATAATTGTTTGTTATTGACTTAAAATGTAGTTGTTGAACCGTGTTGCACATGTATAATGTGTAATATATATATCTAATGAATTCATGTACATATTGATTTTTTTTCCTTTACGGCAATTAATGTAGATTGATATATAAAACAAATATTCATATATAGTAGAAACTTATATACAGTTTGAGCCGAAATAGTTAAACAAGAAAGCAAACTGCAGAACAGGGCCGGCGTTGGACAAAGTCGGATAAAACATTGACTTTGATTCTTAACATTTATTGAAAAAAATACATGTATACAAGTCCCTAAAAAAATTTTTTTAGACCCCCAAATCTATAAAAAAAAATTTTTAGGTGAAATCGTTAAAACATCACCTTAGGTCTCATAATTTCCAGAGCCGGTCTTGAGTGCAGATAAGCTATAGACATTGGCCGAGAGGCTCGTAGGTTTGTTGCCTTTGCGTGTGGACGCTCTATATGGGTTGAACATGTTATGGTAAGTAAAATATTTTACTTAACATACTCCTCCTCTGGTATACTGGCTGAAGCTTGTTGCTCAAAAAAAACAAAAAAAAATGGCTGAAGCTTATATTTTAAGAGATAAACTCAGTGTCGGCCCAGACATAACTGGCGCCTAAAGCACACCAAATTTTTATGCCCCTTACCTATAGTTTTTTTTTGTTTCTTTTTATATCTTTTTTTTGACTAAACAGTTTTTTTCTTTTTATATATTTATGTTATCAAAATATAAGTTATTAATCTCATTAAAAAATAAGATCAACACATTATTCATAAAATTTAACCTTTTTCTCTAGAATTCATTAATCATTTAAAAATATATATATATATATATATATATATATTTATAATCCATCTAAATCACGCTAACATTAATTTTAATTTGCAAAATACTATTGAAATCTCCAGAAAGTTACATAAAAATTAACTTAGCTTATATTCATTTTGTGTTTGTTTATATTTTATAATTTTAAAACTGACTATAAAAATTACAAAAAACAAAAGCAGAGAAGAAGGATGAGAAAACTTACAACAAAAATGGAAAAAAAAATGCAACAATCAATAAACAATGGAGGACATAATTTTTCTTTTTTTTTAAAAAAAAAGAGTAAGAAGAATGAAACTCAAATTGTTGGAAAGAAGAAATGATAATTAGGTTTTTATTCTACGCTTAATTTAAAAGACAATATAATAGTCCATATAATAAAAGAAATTAAAATTGTTAGAAAGGGGTATTCTATTGTGCCTTCATGATTGAATACTTGTATGGAAGCTGATAAGCTATCTGCGTAAGACTTGAATTTTGGTTAATTAACAAGTTGATGTTTTAAAAAAAAAAAACTGTTAGAAAGGGAAGAAACTGACCTGTTTCAAAACGCGGTAGTGTGTTGGCTAAGATTTCATTTATTATCAATTATCAAAAGAAGGAAATAAAATAAAAGAATGTGGAATTGAACCTATCATCTAGAGTACGAGGGATGAAGTCTGAAGACACTGCACTACGAAAGGCCTAACAATATTTGGCGCCCTTATAAAGTCTATATTATTTAGCGCCTCAAGCTGTTGCTTTATAGGCTTTAGCCCAGGGCCGGCCCTGGATAAACTGTAGATAAGACGGGTTCTAAAGCTCATACAAACAATCATAGTTTAAAGTCAAAACCAGTGTTTCATATAACTCTCTTCAAGATTAGCTCTGAACCCAAACTTTCATCCTTCCTGAACTTGTATCCCACTGGAAACAACAACACAACATGTGGTTAGTCAGACTGGACGCCTAGCTAAATTTATTCGGATTTGTACAAATCAGCTAACCCCATAACATATTAGTGGGTATGTATTGAAAGTTTTGGTTAATTATCAAATTAAGATATATTTCTTTGTTGTTTTTTTTTATAACACTGACAATGTGACAAAACAACAACCATGGGAGAACCCGATACAGAAGGTAAAGAAACAAAGGGATATCATTAAACATAATAACAAAATGGATAGAAGCTCACCAAACAAACTCATTAAGGAAGAGCCTCCAACTCGAGAAGGTGGTAAAACCACACCGGTGAAAATCTGGCGATGTATGACTGATGACGCTGATCACGAGTGACACTTATAGCCACTGCCGCTGCTGTTTCATTTCGTTCAGGGAAAACGTGATCGAGGCTCTAACTGTCGATCCTTGCCAGAAGGAAAGAGATGTTGTAGCGGATATGGCTGAATTCGGGGTTTTGGTCGTAGCCAGGCGTTGTTAGAGCATCATGTAGGTCTTCGGAAGATGTCTCAAAAATTATATTTGAGTAGTGTAAATTATGCAAACATTCGACCGCCCAATAAAGATCCCATAAATCTGTTTATGTTTTTGACCGCATATAGAAATATGCCCGACGACTATGCATGATTGTGACCACATTTTCATTACGTAACATCCATGATGCACCACTTGGTTGGTTGGGTTTCATCCATGAGGATCCTATATTACATTTTAGAAATCCATTAGGCGGTTTTCTCCATCTCACCATTTCCGTATTGGTATTATTAACCCATCCCTTTTTTCTATGAAAATATCACACCATGATGATTCTGTTTCATAGGCTTTTCTATGTTTCGTTGTTCTGCATTGTTTTTTTTTTTTTAAGAAAAAAAAAGGAATTGTGGGAGAGAGGCACGTGGAGAGTAGCTGGTGCACGTGCGTAGAACCGGGAGAGCAGGTAATGGGTGCAATGTCTCCATTTCTCATCGATGCCAGCTTGGGCGATGGAGAGGGAGTGAGTTGAGGGAGAAGTTTTATCCTTCGAACATTATTTATTTTCTGAATTAGTTTCTTATTCTTAAAATATTGAGAAAAGTAAAAGACTCAAAATAAATTTGCGAAATTTATAAGACATTGTTTTTATGTGATTCAACTTCTACTAAAAAATATATTTAGCTACATAACTAAAATTATATGTACATATATTTTGAAGTTATTGTTAAAAATGCTAGTTGTTGGTTATTATGTGTGATTCTGTGAAGCTCTTATTAAAACATTTTATACTTAGTGTAACACATGAATAAATACATATTTCAGTCGTGGACAATTTTATATAAATATATTAAAATCTATCTTTATAATATTTGAAATAACCAATTCATGAACATATAATATCTTTATATTTATATATAGAGTATTTATTTATTTATTTTTATTTTTTTGGAACACATATAGAGTATTTAGTTAATCAAATTTGTAGAGTATTTATATCGAATTTTTCTCAATAGAAAATATTCGTATTCATATGTCTTTTTCTTTTTCTTTCTTAATTTTTGTTTTTTTTTCGTTCGCCATCCTATTTGATTTGGCATCTGTTTCGTCAAAAAAAAATGTTTTTGCACTTCTGTTTCTCCATAGTTTATGGCAAATACAATGGATACATCAATTCGAGCTAAGTTAGACTCATGATCGGTTCTAAGCTAAGCCATTTGAAACATTAGTTTTAAACTCCCAAAATAATTTGAAAAACTTATATATAGTTTCCAAAAAAATTTAGGTCTCTAAATTTTCAATTTTTTTTAACTGAAATCATTAAAAAATCATTTAGGGTACTTAAATTCAGGACCAGCCCTCGTCGGACATTCATACATTTTACTCCTGTTGAAAAGATATATCGAGCAATAACAACTAACTCACACTTCCAACATGATCCAAAATTAAATTTAGTACATATCCCATTAACTAAGCATATTAACAAACATAATAAACTAAACATATTATGTTTGTCATGTGAAACCTGTTAACATTTGTTTATCAGTGGGGCGAAATTGTATTATGTTTGTTTAGTATTACAAAAGCTAACAATAATAAGAAAAGAGAGAAACGACAATGTTGCACTGCACTTGCATCCCTCGTAGAAATAGGTGGGGATGGGCTGGCATGTCACATTAAGCCAAAAATCGACAAAACAGTTTCTTCCCCTTTGTTATATTGGAGGTGTAGGATAGCAAAGACCAGGCTTGACGCTTAACCTGCGCTTGTTCAGAATACTTACCCAAAAAAAATTCCATATAAAATTATCTGTGT